CGAAGGATGTACAGACTGATGTACTTTTAATAAATATGCAAATCCCTCTGCTTGGAAGGTGGAAAGCTCATTACAAGGCGCATACGGACTCAGCAATTTAATTTATGCAGTTTCCAGTGGCACTGCTCGGAGCCCCAAGCAGTTTATGCTAATTGAAAATTTTGAAATTCTACCTTTAATAAAATTGTCAATTGCTCTTATCTTAAGAATATAAAATTTTAGTTCAAAAACATTAAACAAAAATATGGAATAAAAATTAAAAACCGTTTAATTTGTAAAAATTTTTAATTTTCGTCACGACCACTAAAAAATCCTCTTGTATTTTTATGTGTAATAATCTGCCTGAATTATTATACCTTTCTCTTTAGCTTGTATATTTCAAATATGAATACAAGGCTCTTTTTGCTGCAAACTTTGAATTTGGGGCGAGCAAGAGATGAAATCTATGAACCTTTACAGAAACAGCTGTTCGAATCTAATAAATAAATGGCCCAAATTGTAATACACCTTGCAATTACTGGCATATAAATCAATAATGAGACCTGGTCAAGCCGTACACTTTTACACCAAGTTGTGTCCAGTCGAGGCCAAGGCTGAACAACCGCTTCGGGCCGTTTGTTGTTGGACATACGCTAAACGCATTCTGGCCGAAAGTAAAAACTGTTTTGCACACCCGTGGCGGGAGGCACATGCACATCAGCCGCGTTTTCTCTCACGCCGAGCGATAAATTGCGCCGCGTACAAACAAAACCTCTTTTGCGCTATACCAATAGCTGATAGGTGTGGGCACCTCTCCCTTTCAATTGTGCACCGCTAATCTGCAATGGTAAAAAGCAGCGACGAGCAAGAAAGAAAAAAAAAGTAAAATTATTCATCCGGTGACGCCACGTGACCATATCCGCCGTTGCACCCACTCCCTTTGCTTTGTTCCTGGCTTTAAAATCAATCCAACAAAAACGGAAGTTCTTTTGAAAAGCCTGAAGTGTAAAAATCAACCCTGCAAATTTCAAAATTAAAATAAATTAACGTTACAATAGACAGAGAAAACAAATTTCTTTCGTCAAAACTTTTAGAACTCTTGTGGTATTTATTAATTATGGTTTCCTCAAGGATCAGTTTTAAAATAAATAAATAAACCTTTCAATTATTCTAAGGTCTAAGGGACCTTTAAGATTTTGCTTGAACAAGGTTTTAGCGGCGGTGTTGCAATATGCTAATGTTATTATTGTACGGCGCGTCATCTCATTGTGTTTGAAAACGGAGGCGATAGTAAATAATTGCCTTTGTCCAGCACTTGTAACATTCTCGGATTTGCACTGGCAGCGAAAAGCCTGCTCGCTAATGAGCCGTGCTCATGTGCCCTTGTCCTCCCGCGCACAAACTGCACCACTCAACACAGCACTCCGCTCGTCAGTCCTTAAGAAATTAAAAAAAAATGGCGTGCTGTCGAGAGAGCTCAAACCCGCGCGCCTATTTTTCTCCGGCAACCCATTGTTCACGATTGTCGTTCAGGGGAGCGAGAGAAAAATCGGAGATGGACCTACCGCCGAAAACTCAGGGTTGCTCCTACCTGCGTAGGGCTAAGGGACAATGGGCGAGGTCGAGTTGAAAAACACAATCCCCTTTTGCTCGGCTGCCTACCTCTTGAGAGGTGATTTATGTGCTTCATAATATACCTGATGCCTGCGACGCAGCAAAGATAGAGCTAGAGCTGCACACAAGTGTCAATGCTACGCGTCTGTCCCATTTTTCCCAGAAGCTTTTTTCTCTCGTTTTTGAGCTAATGAGGGCCGGTCGACAAAAACCAAACTGCCTCTGGAGGAAATAAGGAAACACGAAGCGTTCAAGAGTGCGTTTAGTTGTCGTGTTCCACTAATTGATCTAAATCAGTCGTCGTACTTGCAGTCAGCCGGGGAGCGTGAGGGAAAAGAGCATTTTTACACGTTTTGGGCCACATCAGTCTTTTTTAGAACGGAGGGTCCCCCGAGATTTTAAAACTGTCAACAAAAATCCGCATGAGTATTCTATTCATAAGCTAAAGTTGAAATTGAAGAAAAAAAAGCAAAGTGGCTTACCAGGATCAAAGATGGTCATTAGAAATCAGGTGAAACTCATCACCACTTTCCTATTTTTGTTTTTGTTCTCAGGTTAGACCTAAAACTGCCCTTTTGATTCGCTTTGTTTTAATCTTGCTGCGGTTGTTAGTTATGACACGTGATGTCCTCTTACTCAGTAATAACTCATAAGTTCCGTTGCATCAGGCAGTATTTACAAATAACTTGCTTTCCTTCGCGACTAGAGCTGCGACCATTGAAGTACTTTTTAATGATGAAATGCAATCAAGCGCGAAAGCTTGTCTCTCAAAAAGGAATAATAACGGCTTTGTGGCCAGCACACACACGTTGAGTCCATTACTGGAGCGTGGTATAACAATGCGCTCCCATTATGAAAAGTTCCATTTCATTTTCGCGGCACCTTCTGACAAAATAAATGTATCTGTCCCGATGAAGAATTTTAACGAACAGAACAGATGTTTCCAATTTTTCTTTAACAGACTATTATAAATTAAATTATATTCGGATCAAAAAATGGAATTTATAAAAATCGAAAGTTTCAATACGCGCACGTGCTCATTCATCCAGCTCGGACGGTGCGTTGGAATTGTAGCAAGTGCAATGATCGAACACAAAAATGTGTTCGGCACCTGTGCTTTCACTATTTATATGCATTTATATATGCGTCTGCTTATGTGAATATATATTATGTTTAAACATTGGCGTGGCCTTGGCTGATTGTCAGTCTGTTTCGCCGGGCTGTTAAAATTGTGTGCAAAATGTGCAGCATCATTGCTCGCAAGCTATGGTGAGCGGAAGAAAAAAATAATGGAACGGCGCGGCGCTCCTTTAATGAATCGCGCCGCGCCATAAGTCCGCAGTCATCACCCTTAACTTCCCTGAAAATAGAATGACAACATCAAACAGACCTTCGCGGTAGTTGGCTTTGAAAAAAGAGCGTAGCAAACGCCGCAGAGCGCTCAATTTGCACGTAGACTTTAATTTTTATATAAATAAATTAAATTATCAGCGCCATTTCCAAGCAAATATGTACAAAAACTTTTTATTTGCCATTTATATTTCTCTCAATTTTTATTTCTATTTTTCATCTGAAAATATTATTTTAATTAAATTTCTATATTTTATTGAAGCGCTTCTTTTAAATGTGAGCTGATATTATTTAATGAATGAAACAACCAAATGAATCAGACTCTATTTCAAACATTTTGACGTCACTATACATTAGATTAAAATTTGAAAGACGCAGATCTCTCTGTGTGATGTGGGAGTAGAACAAATATTTTCTCCGCGGCTGCATTGTGCTGTTTCTCTTTCTGTGTGAGCGAGAGGCTTTTAATTAGAAAAGAAGCCGCAGCCTAAAAGGGTTGCTGCGGGAGTGCGCTGCGTTTTGATCAACTCACTGTACGAGAACCAAGGTCGAACGCAGCAGAATCTCTTTCTCGATCGCACAAGTATACGAACAACAAACGATATGGCACATGGCGCTCTCACAACAAGCATATGGCCCGTACGTGAAGTCTTGAGTAAACATCAGCAAACGTCGGCCTGCCCGTCGTTCATAATTACTTGCAGCAGCCACCACGTGATGCGCGTGGGGCGTTCGCTGCCATTGTTGATCGCTTCCAAATACATACATACATAAGAAGTACTGTACACACAGCCAGCAGACATGACACACAAATATAATTTTGCCGAGGTCGCCGAAATTAGCATGCAGCTCGCCCGCCGCGAACGCTTCCGCCAAACGTTAGCTATTTTCATTGCACTTCATCTCTCTCTTAAAAATTCAAAAAGGCCAGCAGATGCTCCCCTGCATCGCTTTTGGTCAATTCCGGCTTCTTTCGCCGAACGTGTGAGTCATCAAGTTCCACTATTGCAATTATCACAGCATCCGCAGACGATCCGCTGCTTGACGCATTTTTGTGGTTTGGCTGTGGTTAATTGCGGCGAAGCAGTTAAATGTCGCTTGCGGTCGTTTCAATTTTCTTTGGTTGAAATACGACTTAGAAATTGAATCCCAATGCAAAAATTCGCAAAATTTTTATTTTTGTGGCTTTTGAAAGTAAAAAATACGTCGCAAGAAAAAATATCTATCAAATTTTTTAGGGGAACATTTCAAATCCAGCATTCTCTGCCAGCTTAACTTTTCTCTAAAGAAATACAAAACTTAACATTTTTAGCTTTCCATCCATCTAAACTCTGTATAAGTCAACAGAAAGTACTGCCATTAAAGAAGTTCCTAACAAATTATCTCATGCACTTAAATTAAAATTTAATAGCGCAGCCAAGGTGGATGTCATTAAAAAGTTTTAGTTTATCATAATTTGAAACTTATTTTGAAGAAGATTTATTTTTACACTAAACATTAGTGAAAAATCCTATTTAATATATTACAACCTTTCACCTTTCAAAGTTACATTTTGACGTTGTAAAGGATGCTCAAGACTTCAAAAGGAGAAAGCTGGGCTATTGTATTAGCTCGTATTTTACGCTGTAAAATGTGATGAAATAATTATTTGAATCCGGAAGATTTGGGTTAAAAATCTCATCATTTCCTATTTATAAAATTAAGAATTGATCAATTTTCCACGTTTTTAAAATTTGAGTATGAAAAATACTAATACTATTTTACCTTCAAAGCATTTGTAATCAATCAAATAGAAATATGCTTTTTTTTTGGAACTACCAGTCAAAATATTTTTGGAAATAGTGATATGATATGTAAATAAAAATAAAATATGCTAATGTGGCTCCCATTTAGCGATCGTCGCAGTAAACTAAAGTAGAAAAGTTCACTTGAACCGGCCTCGGAAGCAGCGGTCAGAGGTCAAGGGTCAATTGTCTGCTCAATTTCGTCCCTCTCCCCGTGCACGTGACCGCGGCCACCAAAGTTATAACACCGACCGTCTCTCTCTCCTGTTGCAGATGAGCCTCATGCTCACTCGGGCTCGTGGGATGACTCGGCCCGCCTGTGCACCACTGGTGTCGTCGATTCGGCAGGCCCCGTTGCTGCGACCAACCCCGTCCTGCGCCAAGGCAGTTCCGAGGAGAGTTGGGGCTCGGCCGCGTCAGACGTTTCCTCTGGTGATGAGAGCGAGCAGAGCACCAAGGCGCCAAGCAGTCGCGGCAGCTTCGTCGCTAGCACCAAGTGAGCATATCAATTTTTTCCCTGCATCGCTGCTCCAGTTTCAAATTTCATTATCTATAGCTCATTAGGGAACTAAAAGCAGGATAAAGAGCAGTTTTGTTTCCAGTCTCTTTTTAAAATTAAAACTTTTATGAACATTAAATAATAAGAAGCAAATATTTAATGATATGCAAAATTTTTAAAAATGGTAAAATTTAATTCAATTTTTCTGAATGTAGTATTTCTTTTTTTAAATTAAAAATACTTCTACCTTAATAAATGAAAAATAATTCAATATTTTAGTACAAATATTTTAAATAATATTTAAATATTTAAGGCAAAACTTCTTTGAAATTATTTCAGCCGAAGTAATGGAAACATCATCAACAAAGCGTTGACTCTGTGTGAAAAGTGGCGAGACCCTCGGTCGAGTGGTCGCAGCACCTCGTCTGAAACCCTGGCCGCGTCAACGTGCACGCTGCCCGCCTCGGAGACGAGTCAGGCCGACTCGGGGGCCAGTCGGCTCTCGCGGTGGTTCTCTATCCGCAGGGGTAACCAGTATGACCTGGACCGGCTGCAGGCATCGGCCGCGGCCAAAATGCCTCAGCTGCCCGAGGAGGAGGAAGGAGGCGCCGGCGGCTTCACTTTTCCAAGGCGAATGCAGCCGCCCACTTTACCCACCCTTCCGCCCGGCCTCAGCAGCGAACAGGTCAAACGAAGACACATTGTGGCAGCAATTGTTCACAGTGAGAACTCTTACATGGCCACGCTGCAGAGACTTGTCAATGTTAGTATTGAAATATCGATTTGTGCTCGCTTTGAATAGGAAAATTCCATAAAAAAATTTGTTACTTTTTATGCAATAACACTTGAGTTTTTATTTTACTTTTTTGAGGAATTCCTTGAAAAATATTTTTTTAAATATTTTTTTTTTTTAAATTGAAAATGGGAGATTGAACACTTCATGTTTATTTTAGGACTTTAAAAAGCCCCTGGAAGAAAGCAGTCCTACTATTTTGAGCGCCAGCAAAATCAGCGTGCTCTTCTTCAAAATTCCGGAAATTCTTCAGTGCCACAACCTTTTTCGAGTCGCCCTTGCAGACGCTGTAAAAAACTGGGACAGAGATGAGAAGCTTGGAGACGTTTTTGTTGCCTCGTTTTCAAAGACGGTGGTGCTTGACGCCTACAGCGACTTCATCAACAACTTCTCAATAGCTATGGACTTGGCCAAACAGGAATCGAGACGCAAATCGGCCCTGGCTGATTTTCTCAAAGCAAGTTTTTTTGCAAATTTTAAAGTCAAAATTTTAACACATAAATTTGTAGGTTAAACAAATCAGCTCACATGACCGACTGTCCTTCTTTGGTTTGATGGTCAAGCCCGTCCAGCGTTTCCCCCAGTTCATACTCTTCCTGCAGGTTGGATTAATTTTCTTTTTGTGTTTAGTCAGCGCTGAGCATCCTTTTACTTTCAGGACTTACTGAAACACACTCCTCACGGCCATCACGATAGGATGTCGCTTCAGTTGGCTCTCACGCAACTCGAGTCATTAGCTGAGATGTTAAACGAACGCAAAAGGGAAGCTGAGCAGTTCCAGGCTTTCCGAGAAATGCTTCGACACGTCAGCTCAAAGTTTTCAGTACGCCCCCTGTCTGACAGCAACCGCTACCTATTGCGAGAGGACAATGTGACGCAACTGGAGTTCAACCAAGCTGGCCTTATAACCAAATCGAAGAGCAGACGCCTGCTGCTGCTCAACGACTTGCTGGTTTGTGTGTCTGTGGCACCAAAATCGGCCGACGACTTCAACAGCACGGAAAGACTGAGCCTCAAGTGGACCTACCCTGTCACTGATGTTGAAGTGCAGGACACAAGCACCTCTCTCACCCTGAGCAGGATGCTCACTGCCAGCCTTAATCGCGGAGGAAGTCTCAGGTAACTTATTTTAGCTGGAACAAAAATTAAACTTATTTGTTGTTTTTATATTTTGCTTTTTCAATGAACCGACTGTAAAAAATTTGATTGAAGGTCTGATCGAAGTAGTAGCAGTGGTAGAGGGTCAGGAGGAGTGGAAAACTTGTGTCAGGAGATGAACGACTTAATGCACGACTATGAGGCTGTCAGTCGGATTGCAGAAATCACCAACAGCCTCAAAGGCAACTACAAAGGACTGACTGTGGAGGGTTGCAGGCAAATTCTGGATGGCATTCAGACTTTGATCCAGCAGAAGGACGACGAAATATCGTGGGTCGACTCGTGTTGCATGCAGTTGACCATCAAGACCAAGCCAGGCAAGGAGGAGCAGTTCACATTCCAGACTGAAAACCCTAACATTAAGAAAGAGTGGAGTACAGGTTAGAAAACTAAAAGTCCGCTCTTTAAAATTTTTACTCATTTTTTTTTTTAATTTTAGAACTGAGGTTAGCTCAGCTGGCGCTAGATCCAAATAACTCAGCTGCTTGGGATATCCCTGAGCAGGAGAGAAGGCCTTCTACCAAAATGCCGTTGTTTGTCAAGGCCATTCCAGTCACAAAATCACAGCATCAAACTGAGGTATACTTTTGTGGTAAGTCCATTAGATCGAAATTAAATTTTTACTATGAATCAGGTGAGCTGTGGGTGTTTTTACACGGTGACAATAATGAAGCCAACAAGACGGCCTAGGCCACAAAGTTACCTGTGGATTTGTACAACGGATGGAGTGTCAAGCTACATTACGGTTTATCTGCAACAGCAGGCTGGACTTCGGGAACTCAGCTGTTTGCATCTAGTCGAGACAAAAGTGGCAGCCATGGAATTTGTTCCGGGTATTTCACAGGGTAGTGGACTCTCAGTGGACAGCGTTTGGCTTGGCACAGAGAGTGGAAGGTAAACGAGGCTGCCAGTCTTGAAACTTTTGTTTTAAACTGAATTTTTCTCTTCCAGAATCCTCATATATGCGGCTCAAGAGCCAGAAAGGCAGACAGAACTTGGAGATTGCTTCGGAGTAGCTGCAGTCCAGCAAATCCGCTACCATTGTGATCAGACTTTTGTCGCTCTTGCAAACGGGACAGTTCTTATGTACAGGCGCGGTTCGAACGGTGAATGGTGTTTGAGTGAGCCCCAAAGCCTGTTGCTTGGAACGGAGCCGGTCAGTGTACTGCTGCCCATCAACATCTGCATGTATGTGGCTTGCGCAAAGAAGGTGTGGGTCATCAACTCGCTTAATGGAGACATGCAGGTGAGATCATCTAATCGGCAATTATGAAATTTTTCAATTGTTTCCACGCATAAAATACACTGGCAGAAGTTTAGAATTTATTATTAATAGATTTAAATCAGGCCTGTAATGAATTCTAATTAGGTTGCGATGTTTATATTGGCCAATACTCAATTATTCTTTTCAACAGCATAAATTTAAAATACGGGAAGAATCAAATTTATAAGGTTCAGATTAAAAGATAAGCAGGCAATTAAATTGAAGTAGAATTAAGAAAATGCTGAAATTTACAAGCAACCTTATGTATCATTACTTTTTTTTATCACTAAAGCTGTTAGACTATACCAAAGTCATCAATAGCTTTTGTTTAAAAAAAATTATCTAAAAAATTTGTTTAATTTTGTCTCCAGAAAAGCTTCAGTGTACAACATGACCTCGGTGGCAACGTCAGTATGATGGCTCACTCTGGCATAGGCCTTTGGATCTCCCACAAAAATTCGTCCACCATCTGCCTTTACCACACAGAAACCTTCAAGCACCTGCAAGACATCAACGTTGCCTCGTACGTAACTCGAGGCCTCTCGGCTCACCACCTCAGTCCGAAAAGTGTCCATGTCACCGCCTTGCTGGCCTCCAAAGGGCTGCTATGGGTGGGCACCAACGTTGGTGTCTGTCTCACCATCCCTCTGCCCCGACTGGAAGGTGTGCCCATCATCAGTGGGCGGGCAAACATTTCTCACCATGCGCACTTTGGCCCCGTCACCTTTTTGCTAGCCCTCCAACTCCGCACCCCAACGGAAACCAGAACAGCCACCGTCCAGCCGTCCCTGAGCAGCTGCTCCTCCAGCGCCAGTTCGGATTCCGGGGAGCGCGGCCGCTTGGAGAAGCAACTCTCTGAAGGTGCCCTGCCTGCCCAGCCCGTTCCGAAGCTGAAACACCAACTCAGCAGTCCAGTGGTCATCCGCAGAAGGGTGCTAAGAGAGGACCCAAGCCGTCGGGCGTCTAAAACCCTGCCCAGGGGCGCCTTCTCAGGGCTGAACACAAGTCAGGACTGTGATGTCTACGGCCTCTATGGAGAACTGATGAACATTCGGGACTACGAAGAGGAATCGCCGTCCAAGACGGCTGTTGACTTTGAGGCGGCCATTAGGAAAAGCGGCAGCGACCCTGAGTTGGCCGCCATTCCTAGGAAGGTGAGCACGCTGGACCGGAGACTCAGGATTAACAGCAGCCGCCCAAGATCCCTCGACTTGTCCAACTGGTCTGTTGACTCAAGGTCATCTTCTCTGTACACATCTTCAGGGTCTGAAGACAGTGTCCAGGTGCCCAGCATGTTAGTGGCGTCCAACACCAAACTGGCCTCGTCCACTCCAGTGGCTGCGAGTGCGGAAGGTCCCAAGGCGGTTGCCGACACCCCAAGAACGGTGTTGACCCTGACTGGTGGTCGAGGCTACGTCAACTGTCGTCGACCTGAAAAGGGAGGCAAAGTGGCCAACGTGGCCGAGGCCAACAGCAGGGATGCACACATGGTGCTGTGGGAGACAAAGTTGTGATAGAGAAAAGTTTAAAAGTGGATTATTGCTCGCCGGTGCTCACTCAAGAATCCTCCAAACGGAGCTGTTCTGCTGTTTTACTCTTGATATTACCACTGCTATTTATTTCTCAGCACGGGGGAGCCCCCGACAAGAATCAAGTGAGCAGTAGTTCATATTTGTGTACTATGCATTTATCAAAAGTGTGAACTTTTGCTAAAGAAATCTTTGTTGTGCGCATATATAATTATGATACTGCTTTGAAAGTGAGCAGAAAATGTTGTTCCATTGTCTTGTATTTTATTAAAGCAAAAATTAGCTAAGCTCGTAAAGCAGCATTAGAAAAATTGACATAAATATTTTGCTTTTTATTTTTTGACCTAAGATATACATCAAATTAATTACTTAAGATTTATATTGTATTATCATACTATCCCTATTAATTTGAACGCTTAAAATTGCAGAAATGGATTACTTTATAAAATATTGAATAATAGAGATCTCCTTCCTCCCTACATAATTATTTACATAATAATAAATAGTGCAATAATGATAATATAATAATATGTATAATATTTCACATTTTTTACTCATAATTGAAGCAAGACTTGCAAAAACAACAGCAAAATAATTTATTAATTCTTTAGCCTAACGATTTATCATCAGAACCCCCAAGTCTCCCCCCAACCCTACCGCCTACCCTCTGCCCTTTATTAATTGGTAAAGATCGTCAAAGAAGGGTGATCAATAAAGAGTTAATAAATTTATTCACTAGAAAATGGAATCCAATTTTTAAATTTTAATTGATTATATATGGCTAATTTATAAAAATTTTCAAGTCGCAAAGCCTTGTCGCAGAGTTTTGAACAATCACTGCATTCGGGCTTTATTTTTTTCACCAATTCAGTTGGTACCCCTATAATTCTTTTAACTCCTTTGTGCACACCAGCTAATGTCGTCACAGTCGAGAACAAAACAGGAAGACTTCTCAAGTTCGCAATAAATTGACGCTTTCCCGGCTAGAAACGAGCATCCTTTGCAATTTGGGCAACTAGAAACACTCAATAGTTTCAGCGAGTCCTCAAAATTAAAGGTATTAGCATGATTCCACCTAATCAAAACCCTCCTTCGACTTGCTTATGCTGAGACGCTCATCGAGAGACGCGTTGCAGGTCTTGCAAGATGACGACGACCATGGACTCGGCGCATCGCATGAACACGGCTGCCCTGAAAAAAGTTGACCAGCACATGTTGCAGGTGATTTTCGAACTCTCTTCAGAAATCTCAATTACGTCCGAAGCCCACGATTTCATATCTCCAGCCATAATAATGCTACTCAATTCCAAACAGCTCGTCTAAAGCTCTATTCTTTAAATTCTCCTGAAATTCATAATACTTTATATTTCTGGTTGCTTTTGTGGTTGATTCCGAATTCTCACTTATTATATTTTGCTTTCAAAATCATTTTCTGCGTTTTTTTATTCTTAATCTTCAAATCTCTTAAAAACTAATTAAAACCATAAGCGGACACTTAAGTAGATTAAAGATTAAAGGTGGATTTCCTGCAATAATCCATTTACCTATTTTCATATTGTGTTATGAAATTCTGCATACATACATATATTTAATTTTATGCAGCCCTTCTTTACTCACATAATAATATAACTTGATCCTCCCCATGCTCTTCTAATTTTTGTGACTTCATCTAAAATTGAAGCTTGAATTGATTTGCAATATTATTAAATTTAAATTTGGTTCGATTTTCAGATACTGGACACTGCAACGCACGTTGCCCTGTACTCGTTTAACAATGACCAAAACAAGTGGGAAAAGACAGAGATCGAGGGTGCCCTGTTTTTGTACAGCCGCGACTCACAGCCGTCTCACGCATTTATCATAATGAATCGCCTGAACACAAACAACCTGGTCGAGCCGGTCAAACCAAGTCTTGACTTCCAAATAAAAGAGCCCTTCCTTTTGTACAAAACTGGCCAGGCCACCATTTTTGGCATATGGTTCTACAACAAAAACGACTGCCACCGATTCTCGCAGAACCTCGACAAACTGGTCAAGAGCCTCAGCAAGGAGCCTCCCAAGCAGAGGAGCGATGGCGTGGGTGGTGTTGACATTTTCGGCATGCTCAGCAAGGCTCAGGAAGACTTTAATTCCAAAAAGAAGGTCCTAAAAGTTTATTTGAAATATCAAAAAAGTTAAATTGGAAGATTGAAAAATATTTCTTCATTTAAATTTTTTTAATACATTTTTCGCATGGAAAATAATTAATTTTTTTAGTAAAATGCAAATCTTTTTTCAGAACACTTAAAAAATTTTATTTTTTTTTTATTGTTTATGCTGTGCTGTGATTTTTAAGACCCATATTATTCTTAAAGCCAAAATGTTCAAAGGAAGTTTTTTGATTGCCGTTTTTAGACAAACGTGGAGGCTCCACAGAGTGTGATGGACTTTTTCGCCAAGGCCGCTCCCAAAGATCCGTTTCCGGCACAGCCACCGCCCCCAGTGGATGTGATGAAGCCACTGCTGATGCGAATCATGTCCAACCCTGCAAATACTTTAGAGCACATAGAAAAGCAGCAGCGCTCCACCACGCCATCGGACGTCTCCAAGCAGCAGCCGCCGCCACCACAGCAGCAGCAGTCCTCTGTTCCTTCGTTAATTGCTTTGTCCTCTCCGGTGACCTCTTCCTCGGTGCCCGTCCTCTTTGGAACGCCACCCTCCGTGTCGTCCCTCCCTTCTGTGGTCGATATTGAGCGCAACAAAACTGAGCAGCCAGCGTTGTTGCCGCCAAATATGTTCACAAACAGATCTCAGGAGCCGGTCAGGTGGCAGGTAATATCATCTAATTTGCTTTCATAAAAATTGAGACTTGGAATTCTTGCTCAAAAATTATTTGATCACAACAATTCAATATCAGATCAAAATGAGATATTTGTAATAACTGTCCCGTTTCATAATTACCTCATTTGCAATTCAGGTTGGAGGAGAAATCTCGCCACATGATTCGACGCCAAAGGCAGAGCACGTGTTGAAGCCTGAGCCACTAACCAGGAACCAGTTGCTACAGGCAGTATCATACCTGATCAAGCATGACCCAGAGTTTATCACTAAGCTTCACGAGGCTTATGTCAAGTCGTTCAACGAGATGCTGTAGTTTTTGGTCAGTCTGTCGATTGTCGACGACGGTGCATTCCTCAGGACAGATGCACCATTTCACCCTACCAACCTATCTCAAGTGATTTTGTCCATGAGACCCAGTGTGTTTGTTGTATTATATATTTGACACTGCATCCAATCAGAATAAAAATCATGTTGCGACCTTTTGATCACTGGAAACAATTTTTTGTTTTTGATTCACTTCTAGGGATTTTTGGGAAATTAGAGCAGGCTGCTGGTCATTTGCTTGAAGCAACTTTACCGTTGCTTTTGATTTATTTCCTATTGTAGAAATATGACAGAACATGGATTAATAGAGACCATGACAAGTGTGTGTTTGTGTGTATTATGTTTTAACGTAATGTCTAGTCCACGCGACAAAATTATTTAGTAATAAGTAAATGTATATATATATTATGATTAAATTGCAAGGGGATTTACAAAATAAAATAACTCTGTTGTCCTACATTCAAATAACATAAAATTTTGTGTATAAACATAATTACTATGTTTGAAAACAGTCGAATTGAAATCTTAAAGAGAAATCACAAAGCCTAGCACAGTTGAATTTTTTATGAATTAAACATGTAAAGCAAATTTAGCATTGTCTGTGAGGCAACAGGATGCTATGGAGAGATCAACAGCACCAAAGTAGGGGGTTGAAGTATTTTTTAACCAAAGATTTTGAGAGTAAAAGCGATTGATTTTGTGCAGCAGAAACATGAGCAATCAATTAATTGGGAATGCTTGGTGTTCTCATTGCATTTGTGCTACATACAGTTTTGTTGGTTACGATGACTACTGAATAATTGAGAGATGCAGACAAAATTAAGAATCACCACAATGCTTTTCGGAAAAGCCGGCAGATTATTGAATTGTAAAATATCTACAGCATGAATGTATCTCATCCTATAATGAAGTCTCACAATCAGTAGTAAATTAAAATATTCGTCTCAATTAATCAATAACAGTCGAGTCAGGTGATTTTGAATTGCCTGTGTTTCAAACAAATTCAGGTCCACAATGCAGCAAGTCTGATATATATAAAAGTTTTAAATTTTAGAATTTCTTAATTCTTTTGCCTGCAGAAAAATAACCATGAAGTGGAATGGTTGCAATCAGGTATGGAAAATGCAAAAAGAAGCACTGACTTCACAGCAGGGTTCGGCCGATTTTTAGTCTATTTATCTCTGACCAGATAAAAAACTATTGTCAAAGACCATGTCTTCAATAGCTTTTGTCCTCGTAAAAAGCCCTAACCTTTCAAATTCTTGTATGTAAAAGTACTTTTGTTCTCATCAGTTAGCAACATAAGGAGCCTTACAAAATAACCTGAAACAGGGGTTAGAATATTCATTATAGAATAGGCGTACATGATCCCAAACGTCAAACAAACTAAAAAGGGTTTTAAAAATAGCCGGGCCACACAGCTATGCAAGTTTAAGTTTAAAATCAGGTTTGTCTAACCACCTTACCACTGAATCGAGATAAAATAATATATATCGACAAAATTTGCCACTATCACACTTGAAATTTGAAAGATAAACTTTCACGCAAAACTCATTTTTTTTTTCAAAGTTGATTAGTTTACTGACACTGCAAAGTTGTGTGCCTCCCTGTTGATATAGCCTAAAATTAAGATGAGCCTATGTATTTAATACATCAATGATGAATGTTCCCCTGATAAACTGCCGTGCCGAACCCTGCTTTGACAGAAAGACTAGGCTATGGTAGAGGGGTAGAGTTCTGTTTGTTTTTACACTCACGCGGTGATGGGTTGGGTGGGTCATCTACGCTGGGCATCACAGTAGAGAAACAATCGATACAATATATATTAGTGTACGTTGTAATCATAAAAACCACCTCAAAAACTGCACTTTGAAATAAAAATCAACTGGGCTTGAGATGTGTGCTGGTCCACTTGATTGTTCAGGCGCTTCCCTCACTCCGTTTGCTCTTCGCCTCCAGCTGCCTCGTCGAGGAGTGCCTCTTCTTCAGGGCCCACTACTCGGCTCAGTGGCTGGAAAGCTGAGCCCAAGCTGGGCCGAAGTTGAAATGTTGCTGACGGCTTTAGGGGGCCAAAATCCATTTTGCTGATATCTAGGGCAGGTCTCCTACTAAAAATTCCAAATCGACTTGGTCAGCAAAAAAGTGATTAACACAAAACCAAATGGGCTCACTTCTTATCCTCTATTAAGACCTTGGTGCTGATCTTTTCACATCCGTCGGGTGGTTCGCGAGCACAAAACCTGTTAATGTGAGGCGAAGTTCCCAATCTGTGCAGTTCTGGTGACGATCCAGTACTTCCCCCTGCAGAATGTAAAATTTGAGTCAGTGAACAATTATGAAATATTTGTTAAGAGAAAGGAGAAGGATCAAATATTGACAAATATTTGAATTCCCCCCCCCTTCCAAATACTTATTTTTCATCTTTCATATTACCTCTGGCTCCACTAGTAGGTCTTGAAAATTCCATGCAGCCCAAGACGACGGGCGAGATGGAGCCACATGATGGTGGCCCTGACGAGGGCGTGCTGTCGAATGCCGGTGTCTGCGTGTTGACAGACCTCGTCGATCGTAGCATCTCTGCCAGGGGTGCTTTGTGACCATCAGGTGTGGCTTGGCAAGCCTTAAGTCAGAACGTTTATAATCAAAATTAAAAAAGGCTAAAACTGAATTCTCACTTTATCTTCATCTTGGTGAAGGTCTTCGTCTGTCTTCAAGACCAGTCTCTCAATCTCTTGGTTTAGTCCTTCTATAGAGTTTCTCATGCGAGGCACTGCAGGTTTGGAGGCGCTTGGGATGGGGATGGCGGAGGCTGGGCTCAGGGTAGGGCTGCTTGGCAACACAGGACTGCACACAGAGTTGAGCTGAGAGCTGGACAGCACAGAGTGATCGGCTGCGAGCGGACTGCCTCTTTCTCTACTGCTGGAGCCCTTCTGTTGGAGTCTACAAGAAAATCAGAATTATATATAATCATTTTTTATTCATTAGAGTTGACATTTTTTTTTTAACTGGAAGTTGCACATAAAGATAAAGAGTGTTTAGGATCAGTTCAGTTACTCCTTATTAATAAAATATTATTATTTTCATTTTGTCGCACTTTTAAGTGCGAGACTGACTTACCTATGCCTAATGTATTTTTCTAGTTTGTCATCGTACGAGTCAACAAAACGACTCGGCCTTTTCTGTTCACAAATCCAGTCTTCTGAAGTCTGAAATGAAAGTTTTTAAGCAGTTGTTTATAATAATTTCAATTATCAAATACAAAATAGAAATTTAATTTAAATCAAAATTTCTTAAGATAAAAATAAATTAAGTGAATGTACAAATATGATTCATAATTTTCATAATTTCATTTATTAGGAAATAGAGCAACAATCGGTAAAAATAAAAAATTAGTTTGAGAAATGAAACTATTTATATACTTATATATTTATTTATATACTTAAAGAATTCTATTTTTTTTTTTATCTCAGCATCCTGTGATAAATTTTCTTATTTAAATATTTTAAGATGTAATTAAAATTTTGCTTCGAGGCTTGAACCAGGAACCCCTACAAAAAAGTAATTTTGAATATTATTCATTTCGTGCAGCCTTAAAGAATGGGGGAAAATATTATACATTTAATATTCGATAAAAAATTAAAGATTTGAATGGGGACGCCTAGGTCAGGGAGGCGGCCTATCCCAACCTGTGTAGCTTTATCTACGAGGATGTGCCCACAGTACATCCTCAGTCCCTCGGGCGGCCACTGGCCCTTGAGGTAAATTGCGTCGAGGGAAGCCGTGCGTCTCATTATCTTGCCGGTGTTGGTCTTGGGATGGTTAAAGGCGCCCGGACTACGCTGTCCAGAGCAGAGCAGCGCGTCTGCCGGACAGACCTTGGCCGCCGAGGCGGACCAGACGGGCGACGAGCAGGGGCTGACGAGTTTGATGCAGTTGTGCCGCAGAAGCGATGCCATCGGCAGGGTGGCCCTGATCGGGCCGTTGCCCTTGGTCGGCGACTGCTGCATCTTTGACCACGGACTAGTGATCCGTGTCTTCGGCCATCGCGCCGCTGCGGTGCCGAAAAATTGTTTTTCGGCACGTCAAGCACAGTGGCGGCGGAGGCGAAGGACGATCCCGGCGCCCGACGAATTTGGCAAAGCTGGCCGACGGCCGATGCTTGAGCCGCCTTGTAGTCGAATCGGAAGGAAGTTCGTTCCGTATGTCAAACTCGAATACCCAAAAAATCACGCATCTCGCGGAGAAATCGAAAGAAAAAGTGCACTCATTACCCACTCGTCTCCCATCAAACGTGTAGTAATTGTAAGGAGCCGACCAATCAGCGACCTGAACTGGGGTCGGCGCCGGCCTCGCCCACTTTCTTCTGTCACGCAGTCGATAGATAGCTCCCTCACGTACACACTTGTACACACTACTCGGAATTGGTTAAGGGTAGGAGCTTGTTGGGTAGGAGGAGGCAAGGGAGGAGGTTATATACATACAGCAAATTACTCAATTTATTTTTACCTGCTTTGCTACGATTCCCTTTAAGATTTTTCGGAGAGTCCAAGCATTTATAATTCTAATTTTTAATTTCCATTTCTTGGATGTTTGTATTAAAAATATACTTCTTCCATGAACATGAACGAACCGTCATGAACAACAGAAAACAGAAGTATGCCCATAAAACAAACATATTATATGTATAGGTAATTCTTATTTATAATCAGGGTCTTCAAGTCGCTAGGTTGATGTTGCCTTGCAAATATTTCTCGATTTTCTCATTGCTTGACAAATAAAATATTAAAACCAAAAAATAAAAGGTATCATAAATACATTGTATACATACAAATAATAATTTATTTGCATAGTTCAGTGATTATAATACTCAAACAATGAGATTTCTCTTTCACATATCAATTAATAATACTTCTTGCTCTTTAAGATTTCTGTTAGATTTTTGTAATCAACTTCAAATAATATAATTTGCAGCGGAGCCGCAATAATGAACACATGTCGAGGGAAACTTAAAAACAGAAAATTTCTTTCTTTATATTGGCTAATCAATTATTGATAAATTATATCCAAGAGAACACAATGACAAGAAGAATTTTTCTTTTAATTCATCAACTATGACCACACCCAGTTTAAAAAAACAACTACAATCACCGTCTCATGCGTAGAGACGTGCTGTTTCTTGTCCTCGCCCTGCATGTCCTTTTTTTATTCACCATCTTGCGCACAGGAGAAGTCTGCGCGCCTGACGGTCCACTATTCCCACTTGCCTTCTTAGGAGACTCCGTCCGAGCCCTTCGTTTTGGCGAGGGAGTCGCCGACTTTTTGCCAACCACTGGTTTCACTTTCAATTCTTTGGTCCCTTTTGTTTGCAAAACCTTCAACGCCACTCCGACATAGTTCTCTTCTGGCAGAGCTGGCTTGGCTTGCCTCTTTCGAGGCTTGTTGGAGGGCCAACCAGTCAGATTGCGTTTTCGTTTCTTGAACCGTCCACGACTTGACGAGTTGTTTGTCCCAGTTTCTGAGAGGGTGTCCATAGTGGAGCACTCGGAAACTGATTCCAACCGCCTTTTATTCCTCGCTAAGAGACCTAGTAGCTCAGGTTGGGTCAGGATTGGTTGCTCTTCTTCTGGGGCAGGGGGCTGGACTGTGAAGATAGGTTTGATGTCCTGGGTGCACCTACAATTATGGAAATCTTCAACAAGACGCAATGGGTCCAACTCTGACTTGAAAGCCACAGCATCTAAAGGAGCTGGAAACATACAACATAATTATTAGTTTTTAAATTCTTAATCAAATAAAATATTAATTTGATTTAATACTACTCATTGTCATACACATTATAATTTTTAGTTTATACCATAAATTATTATTGATTTTATGAAAACACTCTATGTAAGTACGAAAACAAGAAAGAATTTGATTGTGGGAGAAAAATATTGAATTATAAAATCTGCACCACCAATAAGAATCTAGCATTAATATTCCCAATATAATACAAATTTGCATTGCAAATTGAGAAATTTAATTTCAAATATTTAACCTGTTCTAGCAAGTTCAGCAGCAAGGTCGTCTCCCTCGGCTCCTTCATCTGCCAATGCCCTCCTGGTGGATTTTCTCCTGACCCGACCTGTCGGAGAAACATCAGGCGTTGCTGGAGAGGCTAACATTTCATCCAGAGTCTTGTCCACATTTTCAGCAGTGATCTCTGGCGGGGCAGAAACAGTTTCTGTCGATTCTGGTGACACGCCAAAACTTCGCCTCCTTCTTCCTACCAGATTGGAAAGAATTGCAAGTGTTGAAGCGTGACAGCGAGGAGACTTTCTGGGGTTTTTGGCATCTGCCACCAACTGCATGGCCCTGCTTCGAGCAGTGTACTTTTTCCTCTGAGCAGCAAACTTTGTCCTGCTTTTAGAGGCTGTTGCTCTTTGGAACTCGGGCATCTCGTAAGGAAGCACAAGTCGCTTCCGGAAGCGAAAGTCGTCAAAGCCTTCAAGAAACTCACACAGGTCGTCTTGCCGCTGGTATGTCGAAAACCAGGGTTCACTGAAGGGTTCTGTTTCAAAGCTGAAGTGCAAATCTTCAGCACACTCGGGAACATGGTCAGTCTTAGCAGTCTCGTGGCAGGTTCGGCGGCGTTTTGGATTATCAGCTTCCTCTTTGATGCTTGAAAGTTGCTCAGCCAGAGGTGTGGACGGCACATGATTTGCACATTCATCATCATACTCAACCTAATTATAATGAAATATTAGTAATCCATAAATTGACTTGATATGAACTGATCTTTTTACTCTTTTCCTAAGTTAAAATGTTATAAATAACAATACCTTATTGATTTGGCACAGGAAGCCACTTGAACGCAGCTTTGCGTTTTTGACCTCGAGCTTGTAGTATTCTTTGTTGTCCTCCAGAAGTTTCTCCTCTACAGATAGGCGTTTGCGTTTGATGACTCGACCTGAGCTGCATGAGGATTCCTCTTCGGAAGAATGCGTCTTTCCATTCAGCTCTTCAGTCTTTGGCTTTGATTCTGCTCCACCCATCTCATCAGATGAGTCTTGGCCTGAATCTTCGGAGTTTCTGCTACGGAGCCGTCGCTGGCAGCAGCTGTCTGGATAGCGTTTTCGCAAATTGTGTATAAAGTCGTCCTTCTTACCATTCGTCTAGGAAAATGGTTTCAATTTATGAAGGCTGGGCCAAGCATTATATTTAAATGCATTTACCTCTGACGACTCTTTCTTCGCTTTGTTTTCTGCTTGGCGGAGGCTGCTACGCCTCAACTGGCCATTACAGAGTGGAATGGGCAATTTACGCATTTCCTTCTCGTCAGTCTGATCCTGTGGCCCTGGTGCCACAGCCACCCTAGGAGACCTCCTCGGTTGACTATTATTTGAAAATTGAGCTTTTTTCAATTGAATGAATGAATTTCTAATTACCTTGACTTTAGCAGCTCCTCTACTGTTGAAGACTGCTTGATGAGGTTGTCAAGGTCCTCGTAATTGCTTAAGTCCTCTGTGTACGTTATGTGTGTGCTGCTCAGCAAATGTTGCTTGAGGTCGACGTAATCAACCTCGCAAATCTCGCAATAGCCCGGGTACAAGACCTCAGGAGCCTTTGCTTTTTCCTCAGGCTTTGGCACTCTTGACTTGCGGGTCATTCTGCAAAGTTTTCATTTTATAATTTCAACACATTTTAAAACAAAATAAATGTACCTTTGCTCTCCCTGCTGGCAATTTCCAGCTTTGGGAGCATTTCTTGAGTGTTCGACTTTTCCAGGTACAAGTTTTGGCGTGCTGAAGGGGCAACCGTAGTCCAAATTAATGGATGGCCACGATGCAAGACTCCCGTAAAGAGGCCGGTATCGCCTGAAATAATGAACTTTAATCCTGTACTATCCAAATTTTAATATTTTACTTGTTGATATCTTCTATTTTAATGAATGGACCCTTGAAAGGTCTGATTCTCAACGTTGGCACGTTGGTCTGAAGACTGTTTTCAATCTTCTCTAGCCACTTAGATAACTGCAAAGAAAAATTTGGTTATTATTAATTTGCACAAAACAGCAAAGCAATAAATAAAAATTGCAATATCTTAAAATAAATCTAATTATGTTTACTAAAGTTTTTTCGTTTTGTCCAACAATTCCTTTTTTTAAATAAATTGTTTTCAACAATTGATTGCAAAAAATGTTATGAAGCAATTTTGACTAATAACCAACAATAATAATAATAAAAAAATTGATCTTCATAATAACACAAGAAATTAAATAAACAGAAAGTAACCAAATTTACTTTTTCTAGTGGCCAAATTGGGATTCCCCATCTGCTAGCATTTTCCAGTGGATCAACTGAGCTCAGATTTGTGTGCTGGAGTTTGGCCTTTTCAAGCATGGCATCCGCCCGCGATTTCTGAGTAATTATTTAAATTAATAACATGAAGTATGATAGGTAAATTTGTGTTACCTGAGCTCGCCTCCTGCCCTCTTCAGCTGCAACAATGGGTGAGGCGGTGAGTGCCGATGGCCATTGTCCCAAAGCACAAGTCAACCTGCCCTCTGCGGTCCACTCAGGTCGATCGCTGACCACGTATTTCACCTCTTTGGCCAGAAAATCATCAACGACCTGCAACAACGGCGACGGAGTATGCGTGAGTGACCGGGAATTTGTTTCGTGGGTGACTGACAGCCGGCCGGTATGTGTGTGCGATGATAGGAAATGCTGGCTGGGGCTGCCGTCAAAGCAGCAGCGGCAGAAAATCCATTTCGCCAGCCGGCTAAACAGCATTGCCCCCATACAAACTGATCAATAACATTTAAGGGGCGTAAGGCGTTTGCCAAAAACTCGACCGGCGATTCAATGTACAAATTTCGCGGTACTTTTTCTCTTTTATTTTTTTCATTTCAGTTTCGGCAACTAGCGGTTCATTAGCTCTATCTGTTGAATTTGATAACAACACACACACGTATGGTATTTATTAGATAATGCCAAGAAGAGGGGAGGGGAAGTCACTCGAGACGAAAAGCGACCGAGGGGAAGTCTCAACTCGTGACGGGAGGGCGTTGAGCGGGAAAATGCAAGGGGGCTAGAATGCAGAAGGTTCAACGAACTCGAAAGCTCAAATAATACTCTAATTGAAGAGAAAATTTTAAATCTAAATATTAAAAAGCAAAAGCGAAATCGTGTTGAAAGTTTTGAGTCTGAAAAGAATACCGGTCTCGTTACGAGAACAGCGTTTTTCTCGAAAGGCGAGAGCGTTGTCATTGCTTGGGTGCCTAGCGGTGCGGTGTTGCCAGTGCTAACCCAAAACAAAATAATTTTTCAACATTACGGTGTCAGTCATTAAACAAACAACTCAAATCACGTCTGACACAATTTCCGAAAGGGGAAAATTGTCCGAGAACCGCTCGTAGGACAATTTCTCAGCGCCGTCCGGCGTGCAGAGACGAATTTAAAAAGCGGCAACGCCGGTCTGTATGAAACGTACGTCCGGGCAGCTTGTGTATCAAGCACACAACTGTTTCACTCAAGACCCAGTCAATTCACAGCGAAAATTACATTTTCGCTGGCTGCAGCAGGAAGCGACCGAGCGCACTGCACGGGGGAGTTTTTTTGACTCGCAGTTCTGATTCAGATATAAAATTTTGAGCCAGAATGTGTAAATAAATTTTTCAAAGATGGAAAACTTACGGCTCCCAAGGTTTTTAGCCTGGTCTCGATTTTCGCAGCTGTGGCATGATTTTTCAAGTCCAAATAAAATCTGTAGTCGACTAATGGCCTGGCGGTCCTTTTGATTTTCAAATCACCTGAAACGTAAACAATCGAATTAGTGGAAATAATTTTAAAATTTGGCCGAATTAATTTGTGGAAAATTAAAAACAAGCACCTGTTTTGATGTTGTTTATCGGTTTGGTCAGAGTTTTGCTGTCGAATTTCCTCTTCTTGGAAGGAGATACCATCACTCGGGAATTGGAATTATTTTTCGAGTTTTGAGACTTTCGTGGAGGCGGAGCAGTGCATGTTCCGCCTGACACCCAAGTCCTCGCTGTAATTGTCAAGAGTGAAATGGCTGGAACCGCTAGTCCGCCGTGGCCGCGATAACGCTCGGTCGAAGAACGATATTGAGCCGCATCTGCAGGTGCAGCGTCGACGCCCTAACGTGGCCGACGAACAATTTCTTTCTTGCTTCTCTCAACTTTGGCGAGCAGAGCTGCTTGCGGCCGTTGGTGGTCTCTTGCTTGATCTCGCTGCAGGCTTGCTTTTCGCACCGGAGACGCCGAAACGAGGGCGAGTCGGCCTTTTCCGCACTCCGCGCGACGCCACAGCTTCGCCCAGAGTCTAGAAACGCAGTAAATTGCCGAAGCAGCCGAGCACTAACATTCCAGTGACACAAGCGAGATCCATTTTTCTCTCTCACCTTTCATAACACAGCCAACCGATCGGCTCGCAGCACTATTCTCTCTCTCTCTCACATCTCACACACACACTCGGCCGAGTATGCGTATGCGGTGAAGCGACGGTGCTGCCACCTCGGCAGCCGTGGCCGCCAGTCGAGCGAAACTCGGTACCCCCGCCCGAAATCCCGAATCCAGTTTTGTGTTGAGAAAAGCCGGAGAGCCAACTGTTGGTGCCTGGCAGAGGGCGTCCGGCCGACATCTAGGGACCGCTTATTGATTTAATGTCGCACAGCCAGATATTTCTGCTGAATAAGCCTTTGTAGTATGTATTTGTACAACTCTGTGAGTATGTACTATGGATCGTGTAAAATTTTCAACCGCTTTGAATAATATCAAATAATATGACATGCCGGTTCATGCGGTGTTAAACGATTATGGAGCTTTACTTTTTTTAGATGTATGGCAATTAAAATATATTAATAAATTAATATTCTGGTCAAAAATTTACAGTTCGCGGTTTTTTAATAGAAAATTGTAAAATATTATTTTAGAAACCTAGAGAACATACCGTTTGCTACTCAAAAAGAGCAAGAAATTTAAAGGACTTTTAGATTCAGATTTCTTAAATTATGAAATTTTTTTCATCCAAACTTAGTTTTTTTATGTTTAATAGATTTACATGAAATTGACTGTCACAGAAGAAAATAAAAAAGTTACGGTGATTTTATTTACCTTGATCACTGCTGCTTTAAATTTTAATTTTTGGAAATTACCTTCAATAACTTTCTTATTAAATCAGATAAAACGATAATTTATAATTATTTAATGTTTTTACAGCATCCTTCCAAATTAATTCGCACGTATAATATTTAATATTCCACGATGGAGAATTGTAGAGGCGATGGTTTTGTTCACTATGGGTCTGGGTCGCAGTGGGTCCCTCCCAGTCTGCGCAGATAAAATATCACGCTCTCTTCCTCGCGCGCACTTGAAAGAAAAACAAAAGGGACTCGCAGTGGAATTAGATAATCATCAAGAATTTCTTGATCTATTTAGCAGGTAGATACTTTTGTCTGATGTAGAGATCGTAGACGAAAATAAAATTAATCTGTAAAATCAGAGCGCTCGCATGAGGTGTATTATATAATAATAATTCTTTTATTAAACGCGTTTGCGTACAACATGCACTGCTAGAGCAGCACTACAAAAAGAACGTTCATACACCAAGCACAAGCAGACACTGGGACTGAATTAAATTTTTTACAAAGATAATCACTAAGAAAAGTATTAAAGCTCCGCCAGTTTGTATTATAATATGTTATTTTTTGGGCAAAGAGTTTTTTTAATTTTGGGTCCCGCGGTTGAACAAAGACGTAGCGTGGTTGGCCAAATTTTCAACGCGTTTAACCAATCGGGTCAACGATAGTTATAAAATTCAATTTCGCCAACTTCTGTAGATAATTCTGAAATTATTGAAAAAGTTAATTTTGCTAGCAAAGAGAAATTTTTAACTAAAGGCAATTTGAAATACATTATATTTTATTATTTTTTAGTTTAAATCCTTTTTTTGTGTGATATTAATAGACATAAGTAAAATTTCTCGTTGCATTTACACTCGATTAAGTTGGTGCCCTTGGAATTGTTGATGATGGCTCGCGAATCGTAGATGAAACGCGCATGGTGCACGTTTGGCGACTGTTTTGCTAGAGAATACCCACTATCCTGAAGATTTTGAGCCTCTAATTTTGTAATTATCTTCAGACAGGTAGTTTTAATACGCTCCCTGAAGTACTAGGTGCACTTAGAGTCATTACAGGGGTTAAGTTCTCCGGACAAGTACAGTGAATATAGTCATTTTTTCCTTGCATGTTGTAACCGGTAAGTGACAATTTATTACCAAAATAAAAATATCAAGTTACAAGATTTTTTCACAAGACGTCGAAAAATATTTTATACCCCTTACTCATATGTAAATTAAGTGTCTCTCTTTGATTAAAGCTCTGAAGAAATGCCAGTCGACGAAGAGGAAAACGAGAACAATGATGAAAGTCCACCTGTGAACCAACGTGTCAACAACGGTCCTTTCATAAGTGACGACGAGGGGCCTGAGGATGGAAATGCAGATGATGACGCAGACGATAATGCTGCGCAGGATGATGACATGGAGGTTCCATCCGAGGATGAAGAGGAGGCTAGAAGTGACCTGACCCAATTGATTCGTCAGTGGGAAAACGAACATCAGGCTAATGGATACGATCCTGAGCCCATAATCAAGAAGTCTGAGGCTATTTTTTGTAGATCTTGAAATTTTTAAAATTAATTTATAATTTACTTATAGAATGGCTGAATTGATTGAGAGAGAAGTTGAGGCGTACCAAAAAATGGATCCCGACCCATTTGACGAGCGGCCCCCGTCAAAAATAAGGAATGGTCTTAACTCTGCTTACAAAATTTTATTTAGAAGGGACTCGCTCATTCACAAGGTGAGTCGAACTTGAATTAATGAAAAGTAGATCTGCAATTTAATTTTAATAGTTGGTCAATGACTACCTGAGGGAAACATACTGGAGCAACCAGAATATGGGCTCCAGAAATGACCAGAGAACTTACAACTTGAATGTGGCTGCGTGTCGACTTCTCCTGGGAATACTGCCTGGTTTGCAGTATGATTTTGTATTCAAGGTAAAATTGTGATGTTTTGCTTTTGTAATGCGTAGCACATAATTTTTATTTTTCCCCGCAGTTTGATACAATATCTCCAGTGCCAACATTCATTAAGTGGGCTGAAAAGGCCGACGAGCCACTTCGAAGCTACGCAACTGGGCTACTTGGAGCTTCCATGCACATGTCTGATGTTGCTGGTACTTACAGGTGTGTGAAAAATATAAAATCAAGTTAAAATCTGATGTTTAAATAGATAAATTAATAATTTGAATGTTTGAACTTCAGGGAAGAAAATTCTCGTCTAGTTCCTGTTATGATTCGACGTCTGAGATCCCTGCAAGATGAGTACTTCAACAGTCTCAAACCAAAGGAAGATTCAAATGGGCCTAGACCCTTTGCAGATCTTGGAGTTCCAGAATCACCAGACAAACTTTTAGTAGATAAAATTGCCTTGGGTATTTTATAATTCAAAATTGTTTTGTACATATAAACAATTCCCATTACTTTAGAACCAGTTAAACAAAATGGGAGCATATCTCTTCTCTCTCCACCACACATCAGTGAGGCACCTTCACCATCGGAAACACCGCCGTCAACCCCAGTAAAGCCTCATGAACTGGAATCGGGAATTTATCCTCTACCAGACACACCCTCTTCTAAGGCCAACTGTCTTCGAGTGACGCCTGCTAAAGTGTTGGGAACCAGGTTGAGCTCAGAAGGTCTCTTTGGTCTTGGCCGTAGTGTGCCGTCAACGTCTCATTCTGTAAATGAGTGCAGTAACTCCTCTTGGGCGGAAATGGAAACATTTGTCATTGGGTCATTCCAAATGCATCCACCCAACTTGGTGACCAAACAAATCTTAATATTGCGCTACTTGACACCTGTTGGAGAATACATGGAGGTAAGTAATAATATTTAAGTTATTCAATTCGATTCAGTAAAAATTGTTCAATTCAATTTTTATAATAGTACGTTGGACATGCATATGAACAGAATGCATTAGAAATTGTCATGAAGTACATTGATCTAAAGGAGCACCAGAATGCTCGATTGGCGTTTGAAGCACTGAAATATCTGGGCTCTTTACTTTGCCATAAGAAATTTGCAACCGAGTTCACCAACACTCAAAAGCTTCACTTCATGCAGGTAATAAATCTATAAATAGGAATGACAATCAAATAGCTAATAAGGCTATTTCAGTCTCTGATGGATATTCGGAGACCAAGTCTGGCAGCGTGTGGTGTTGCCCTGTGCCTTTACCACTTGGCATACTGTGAGGAAATAATGGAAAGAGTTTGCCAACTGCCGTTCACTATGATCCAGAAAATTATTAAGTAATTCAAATTGCTAAATATATCCTTCTTATTGTTAGTGACTTTTTAATTTATTTTTTCTTCAGATATGCATTATGGCTCTTGGAGTGCTCACACAATTCAAGCAGGTGTCATGCTGTTATGTTCTTCTACCTGGCTTTTCCATTTCAAATCATTCTTGAGGAATTTGATGCGCAGGATGGACTTCGTAGAGTGTTCAATGTTGTATGTAACTTTTGTTTTAAGCTCTAGCTGAATTTTTAACCAACAAAAATTGTAGGTCAGTACAATGGAGCTACTCAATTCTGATGATATGGGAATAGCAATGGATGACGAAGAGCACCACTCGGCCAGACAAACCATCAGACACGTTTTTGGTTGCTTGAAGAGATACTTTGAGACACATCTAGTTCTTAGGGCTCGTCAAGTAAAGAGAATCAATGCGTCAGGTAATTTTAGCATTTCATACTAGATAACTAGATTTATTTATTATTATTACTTTTTTTTGTAAACAGGCCAAACATTTCGAGCGAACACATCACCTTTTAAACTAATCAAACCAACGGTTTCTGAGATACAAGAGTATGTCAAAGTTTTGATGCAAGCCATGCATATACACGCAAAATGGACACCTGTTGACAAGTTCTTGGACCTTGGCGGAGTTGCACTTCTGCTTAAGGTTATTGCTTACACCTATGAGTGGAATTTTTCTGGACGGTAATTTAGATCTTGCAAGTGAAATTTGAATTATACATGATTTTTTCCAAAGAGGGGAGACTGTAAGGAATGCTCTCGACGTATTGGCGGTCTGTACTGTTATCTCGAGAGTCCAACTGCAGCTTTGTGAGAAAGTTGAGCTTCCTAGAGACTCAATTTCGTCCATGGGCATGAAACTCATTTTAGGAGCAGCAGAAGGTGAAATTGTGAATGACGCAGACGTCCAAAGGGCTGCACTCTATGTAATTTGCAACTGCGTTTGTGCGCCTATGCACAGATTAGGTCCATATAATAAGTAAGGAGGATATTTATTTTAATTTAATCCAGAATTAATTTACGTCTATTAACAGATTCACTGGAGGGGGGACAAGGAGAGGTCAATTGATGGAGGCAAGTGAAGATGTGCTCTCGAAAATGTGGGAATCCGTCAGGACAAATAATGGTATCATGGTGCTGCTGCAACTTCTGTCAGGAAAAGGGAGATTGACTGATGCTGATTCTCTGAGGATGCTTGCTGGCCAAGCGCTGGCTGGTCTTGCAAGGAGTGAAACTATAAAGCAAATAATTAGCAATCTTCCACTTTTGACAAATGGCCAACTCCAAAGTAATTTATCATAATGTTCTCTAGTCCTTTAGTCATAAATTTTTTTTCAGTTCTTATGAAGGATCCTATCCTTCAAGATAGAAGGCAAGAGCACGTTTTATTTCAAAAGTATGCTTTACAATTGCTTGAACGTGTTTCTGGGAAGCCAAGCAGCACAGAATTATCTGTTGCCAACATCCACAAAGTAAATCTAAAAAATAAAATATTGAATATTTTCATAAAAAGTTTTTGTGCAGGCAAGTGTTGTCGCGCAAACTAGAATTGAGTATAATAGAGAAGAGTTGAATCAGCTTATGTACCAAGACTTGATGAAGCAAGGGCTAACAAAAACAGCCAACATGCTTCGTATCGAAGCAAAATTACCAGATCCTAATTTAGCTACTCCCTCCACTTCTCGAGTTGTGCCTGCTAGTATTTTGACTCCATCAGCAGCTTTGAGACAAACAAGTGGGACACAAGCATGGGTAATATGCAAGCATTATTTCTTTTTATGTTTATAATTTTTGGGTTTTAGTCTCGGGTTGTAGGCTCATCTCCAGTGACATCTAGAAATACTACGCAGTCCCAAATTGACGTAAAAGAGGGTGAACAAATAACACCATTCAAGCTCTCCCAGCACTCTACCAGGTAAGGTTAAATTGGTCAATCCGTATAATTTATATTAATTTTAATTGTCGTAGGAAGGAGATGATTACCTTTGAGCATGTCACAGAGAGGGATCTTTATGAACAATCCCTAGAGCCGCCATGTCTAACGTTAGACGGAATAATCAAAGAGTTCTTGAAAAACCAACATGCACTCTGCAAGGATCCCGTTGCAACTTGTCCTAGATTTGACTTATTCAAGTAATGCTCAAATGGCTCAAACTTATTTTTAAATTCTGCTTTTATTACTTAAAACTTTAGGCCCCACAAATGTCCTGACCATCGTGGAATGGCCAAACTAGACAATAATTTTGCAGTGCGCTTCACAAAGAAAAGCACCTGGCCTCAATTTGGTGGTTCTGACTCGGCAAGACTAAACCGGAAGCTAATCCACTCAAAGTTTTGCCAGACAAAGTTTTTCAAACCTGGGAATGATGAAAGTTTTTACACATGTGTTGCATTTTCGGTGAGTATATTTTGTGAATCATCTTAAAAAATACTGAATTTTTTTTCAGCACTGCAACTCCATGCTCTACATTGGTACCTACGAGGGTGATGTCAGACCTGTCAACCTAGTATTAGGAGCTGTAAGTAAATTTATAATTTATGCCATTTGAAACTTGATATTATAGCACCAATAATTACGAATGAAATTTATATGAATGCAAATTTAGGAAGAGGAAATGCTGGTACAATGCCATGATTCTTACATTTCTCGGATTGAGCTGAGCCCTTGTGACAAACTGATGCTCACTTCGTGCACATGGCACAGACCTTTGTCTTGCATGTTCCAATACCAAATTAACAGTTGGAATAAAGTTTTATCCTTCAATGAAGATAGTCATGTCGAGTTCAGCAGAACTGCGCCGTACAACAGAATCATTGGCACAAAAATGGAATGTGCAAGAGTAAGTTAAAGTCTTTTTTTCTATCAAATGTACTAAATTTTTATTCAAATTTAGATTTATGACGTTGGGACTGGCAAGAAAATCTTGACTCTCAAACCAAACATGTCTAACAACTATACGAAAAACAGAGCAACGTTTTCACCAACTGACGAGCTGGTTTTGTCAGATGGTGTCTTGTGGGACGTCGGCTCTGGAAAGTCCATCCACAAGTTCGACAAATTGAATCAAACCTCGTCGGGTGTCTTCCATCCAAATGGCCTTGAGGTAAAAATAAATTATTAGTGATAATTAAGTGTCAATAAAATTTTAAATATCTTAAGATTCTGTCCAATACGGAAGTTTGGGACTTAAGAACTTTCCATCTGTTGCGAACTCTCCCTGCCCTTGACAAGTGTGACCTCCACTTCAACAAGACTGCTGATGTTATCTACAGTGTGAGTGTCGAATTCCAGAAAGAAGCCGAGGTTATATACGAGTCTTCCTACCAGACAACAGATGCTACTAATTATGCCAGTATTGGTATGTCCACCTTGATACAAATGTTTTGAAGTTGAAAATATCTTTTTAAATTTTCAGCCACTATTGATGTGAAACGAAACATCTATGATTTGGCTCTGGCTGACAATGGGTACCAACTTGCTCTGGTGGAAAACCAAGGCCAGTTTGAATCTGTCAATGAGTCATCTGTTAGAATCTATGACATTGGCCGCCACAGACAAGATGATGATGAGGTAAATAATATTCAAAAAGCTATATTAAATTTATTTTTTAATGAATTAAAATTTTAGGAGGCTGTTGATGACGAGGAGCCGATGGACGAAGACGACAACCAGTCGTCGTCATCTTCCTTGTCATCGGATTCGTCAGATCTTAGCAGTGATGATATCAATGATGGTGGCGACAATGATGACAATGACAACCAAGAGAACAATGCAATAGCAGCGGCAAGAGGTTAAGTTTTTATTATTTGATCATTCATATTTGTACTCATAAGTAAGCAGATATTGCTGCAGGTCTGGCTCAAATAATCAGGCAGCAAAATAGGCGCAATCGGCAACAAGACCAAGAATCTAATGATAGCAATAGCTTTGATGACTCTAATGATGAGGACTCTTCCGGCAGTTGGAGTGATAGTGGAAGTGAAGCAAGTTGGGTTACTACCTCTTCTGTTTCTCAGAACAGTGGCCGCAGCAACAGGAGGCACTAATTTGTCATAGATCAACTTTTTAAGTTGGCGATATTTGGTCTGAACTGATAATAATTCAGAAGAGCCATGCACAGAATTATTCAAACTACAGTGCTTTTTACCTATACAATGATTGTAAGTTTTATTCATTGTCCTGAAAATTCTGTAAATATTTTGTATTCTGAGATCCTATATATAAATTGCATTTTTGCTGTGAATTATATTTGATCAACAACTTTAATTGAAGCAAATTATCAATTGCTAATAGATTCATCTACTTTAAATATTGTGTCTGAATGAAAATTTTGGAATTGATGATCAACAAAATTTATTATTAAAAAAAAATAATAATCAATGACACAATATGTCGTGTCACCTCGCCTCTAGATTTTTTTGATAATTATATACTTAGCTAAGCTTTGGGTGCGTCCAGGAAAGATTTGAGGGTAAATGTTAAAAATTTTTCTTGAAAACATGCCATTCCAATTTTCAAGTATGTTGTTGGGGTGGTCAAGAGGCCTCGCTCACCAAATTTTCAAGTCAAAATAAGGGGTGCTTTTCCGGGAAATCAGATTTTTCCAAAAACAAAAAATATGGAATATCTTTGCTCCTGTTGAGAAATTATTAATGATCTTTTCATTTCCAGACGTAACTTTTTACGCCCGACAACTTTTCTGTTGACAACTTTTGCGTAGGTCAAAGGTCAAGGTCACTAAATTGCAAATTTCACTTTCTGACGCAATTTTCGCAAAGAAGCACCCCTCAGAAATTTTTTGCAGTATAAGAAAAAATGTAGCCCCAAGTGTGTAGAACAACATACTTGATTTCCAGAATGGCATTATTTTTAGTTTTTTAATTGATTTTAAATGAATATTAAAAAACAGTGAAAAATCGCTTTTCCGCAATAGAAAGTAATTTTAAAACAGCGATAACTCATTTTCTGTTAGAGATACGCAAAAATGTTATAGAACAAAAAGGATTTGTTTTGACTTCTTGCATCCAGCCATGTACTGTTTATACAGGTCAGGTCACTTGGGGTCATTGACCTCGGTGACCTGTGACCTTTAAGAGCAGTTTACTGAATATTTGGCACATAGTTAGGAAGAACTATTTTATGGAATGGTTTTAATAAGCTCATTTCCCACAAATTATTTTTTGAGGTCACAGGTCACCGAGGTCAATGACCCCAAGTGACCTGACCTGTATAAACAGTACATGGCTGGATGCAAAAAGTCAAAACAAATCCTTTTTGTTCTATAACATTTTTGCGTATCTCTAACAGAAAATGAGTTATCGCTGTTTTAAAATTACTTTCTATTGCGGAAAAGCGATTTTTCACTGTTTTTTAATATTCATTTAAAATTAATTAAAAAGCTAAAAATAATGCCATTCTGGAAATCAAGGATGTTGTTCTACACACTTGGGGCTACATTTTTTCCTATACTGCGAAAAATTTCTGAGGGGTGCTTCTTTGCGAAAATTGCGTCAGAAAGTGAAATTTGCAATTTAGTGACCTTGACCTTTGACCTACGCAAAAGTTGTCAACAGAAAAGTTGTCGGGCGTAAAAAGTTACGTCTGGAAGTGAAAAGATCATTAATAATTTCTCAACAGGAGCAAAGATATTCCATATTTTTTGTTTTTGGAAAAATCTGATTTCCCGGAAAAGCACCCCTTATTTTGACTTGAAAATTTGGTGAGCGAGGCCTCTTGACCACCCCAACAACATACTTGAAAATTGGAATGGCATGTTTTCAAGAAAAATTTTTAACAGTTACCCTCAAATCTTTCCTGGACGCACCCCTTTACCAAATTTTTCTACTGTAGCAATGTGTGCTAATTTTACTCTGAAAGGGTATCTTTCTTTTTTTTATTTATCATTTAGAATTGCTGAGGAAATTAATTTTATACTCTCAGCCTATCTAGTAATTCAGCGGGCAAATTTTTGAAATCTGTTAGTTCCAAGCGCCACCACCAAAACATATGACTTCTGCGAGGTGTCGGAAAACAAGTCCTTGCCCTGAAACCAAACCAAACTTCTGATTTTCGGCCAGAGACGGTCACTAGCAGAGCCGCAACAATGAACTACAAGTACTATGACACTCCGCAGGGCAAGGACTGTGACAAGAAGCTGCTCTTCTCCACCAAATATGCAGCTGCCGCCTCAGCGGTGTACACCTTCTACGATGTGCTCTTCATCTCCGATATCAAAGGCTATGGACCTACGATGGCCAGGTTCGCATTCAATGCCTTTCCCTTCGTTGGTGGTGCCGCTGCCTTCACAGCTGTGACCTGTTTGTCGGCGAACGTGCGCAATAAGGACGACTACTGGAACTATGTCCTTGGTGGCTTCTCGGCTGGAGGAGTCATGGGCGCTTGGAGGCAGAAGGTTGCTGTTGGATTGGGCTCCGGTGCCCTCCTCTGCCTTGCAGGGCTGGTGCTGCACACATCAGTTGTTGAGGGATGGGATTTCTTCCCCAAGAACCCAGCCCCTCCAATGGTGTCATCTGATCCCACCGACTTTAAGAACGACTATTCCTTTATCAAGAACGATGGGAAGAGAAATTGGGTGAAGCAGTAGAAGCCTTCCGTTTGAATGATAAATTATGTAGATGTAAATATGATTGAAGTAAAAAAAAATCTGTTAAGGAAATTAAACATTATTTATCTTTAATTTACATTCTGAATCACATTCTTTTCATAAAAATATTAACTGCTTTAGGAATATGTTAACAGAGAACTTAAATTATCTTATTTCGACAGGAGAATAAGGTCTTTAAGTATTGATTCTTAAGTACACTGTTCCTGCTTTTCGCCTGTAATTCAAAACAATTTAAAAAAAAATTAATTTAATTATGTTCATAACAATCAATTATTGTAGAAAGAACAATTCAATATGCACCATTATTAATATATTATATTAGTTTTTACTTTTACATACCATTTTGAGGAACGGCGTGTTTTTCGGTCAGTTCCCTTGCCTTCTTATCAAACTCAACCTTGTTGAGCATGTATTCCTGGGCCTATAAAAAAGGTAATTAATAACAGGTAAAATATCAGCGTTTAGCAATTTGCATGTTAAAAAAAACATTAATTGCCTTATAAGAGCAAATCTGACAAAGAATCTAAAATTTTTCTGTCAGAGTACAATCTACAGTAATTTTTAATTGTCAGCTCTAAAACATATAAAGAATATTTATTTTTTGAATTTAAAATATTTGAAAAATTGACTGCTACTTACAATGTCTGGCATGAGACTATCATTAGGATTGGCATGTTGGAGCAGCTGCCTGATTTCAAAAATCAAATCAACGAGCAATATCGAAGGACTCCAATCACCTACTGGTGGAGGTTTCAAGCTCTTCAGACAAATTCTGCCAGCAGAATCAACGTTGGGATGATAAATTGGCGTAGTGAATCGTACAATCGGCACACCAAGAGGATAGCTGAAAAATTAAGTTATTAATAAGTTGTTCATAATAAAATCATCATGGAAAATGATTTTTATAATTTTAAAGCATTTAGCTTAGCATACTTCTCAGGTATCTTGATTTCCAACTTAAACACTCCACTTTCAAAAGGAGTACCTTCGATCCCAGTAATACCTGAAATGCATAGATAGTTTTTGTATTAAAAATATTAAATGATCCAATTATCAATAATTGTTGAGTTAATTTAATTTTTTTAAATAAAAATTTTTAAATTCGTTATAAACAAAAAATTGTATCTCAACTCACTAGCTTCAAAGTCTTCCATTGAATCACCTACTGGGCTCAAGAAAACGCCAGGACGACTTTTCTTTTTCATCAATTCCATTTCTTTTTTTAGTCTGCTGAGTCTTCTGCTGGCCATGTTTTGAAGGCTAAAAGGCTGGAAATATTATTTTACAGATAAGGAATAAGGAGGTCTTATATTGTTAATAGAAAAACGCAGTGTTTTTTTTTCAAGTGAGATTTCACTAGGAGATTTAAATCTGATTATAATCTGACTGACATAACATAAATTCTAATCTAAAAGTTTATAAAATGTACTGAAAACTGCCTATTGACTTCACCAACGAACTTACATAAAAAATATAGGCACTTTTTGCCGCGGAACAACCAACAAGGGCACAACCAGGCACAACCGCAACATCAGCTTGATCAGCTGCAACGGAGTAGGATGTACGAGAAGGAGTTGCATGGAGGATTTAAAGCTTTTCTATAGCTGCAAGGCCAGGCCACCGCAATACTATCAAACTTTTTCGAGTTTTACTATGAATTGTACCAATTATACTTAAATTATGAATTTTGTTATTTAACATTTAAAATACAAAAATGGAAACAAAGTTCAAATTGGTGCTATCTCCTGTCTGTATACCATGCATCTGTATCTGAAAATTTAAAGTTTAAAAAGGCGCGGGCGTTGGGCACGGGAGACGGAAGTTTTACTATTTTGCCTATTTTGCGATATTTTGCTTTGCCATAACGTGAAATACAAATATGCGTGTGTGGCACATGTATTAATGAATAATGATCCAATTTTATATATAAAACCCGATAAACTTTTAACTTATTATATAAATATTAATTAATACATAATATAATATAATTATCATAACAACTTTAACGGCACTAAACTTTTAAATGCTTTTAATCAGGTTAGTCAATGTTTCCAGATATTATTACTCGCGTCATCACCGTGGCAGCGCCTTGTTTTATGTTTATATCTGGTGCATCTGGTGCTTCGGAACTTCAGATAAAAATGGGTAATTTTTTTACTGTTAATTTTTTTAATCTTATTTTAACATTATTTTTGAGAGAAAAATAAAAATAATCATATTGATATAATGTAATTTTTTTTCAAACATCCTATAAATAATTTTCAGTTTTGAGAATTTTTGCAATTTTGGTTAAGAATCTACACTTTTCCGACTTCTTGAGCTGCATAGTGCATACCATAGTATTATCTATAAATAACTAGAAAGACGTTAGGGGTTGCACTATAGGACTTATCTCTAATAATTATATGAGAGGGTGGCACACGGCAAAGAGAGGAGCAGATGTCGCCTAACAGAGAGGCGGCGGCACGTGCCCGTTGCGGGTCAGGACCAGCACACCTGGAGCTTGTCTCAAAGCACTCGCGATATCAGCAGAGCTAAAACAAGCGGGCACGCTCGCAGGAAAGCGAGAAGCGAAAACGGCGGCAGCTGCAAAAGCTTCCGAATGCGAAGGGGGGTTTTAATCGCGGGAGAGGTAAATCAAGAGTACGCACAACAGTGAGTACCGGCGGCGCGGAAGGAACAAGGATGTTGTAGGGGAATTTAATTTTTTTTGTACTTCCCCTCGACCAGAGCTGCATAGTATACTACGCGGTCACTGGAAACGTTAGCCTCTCTTGCTCGCTCGGAGACTCGAATGCGCGAAAAGGTGTGAAAATATGGCCATCGGAAGTCCTCAGGGGCTGCTGCAGAAGGAGCCTCGGACGCCGCCGCGGCCGTCGTCCAACTCGATCCGCTTTTCCCGCATCCACCCTGCACCGCCTCCGCTGCCCCCGAGACCGTTGTACTACACGCCGCGAAAGCTGCAGATCCCGACGCCGCTGCTGCCGTCGGCGTCCTGCAGCCCGCCGCCCACACCCTCCAAAAGGAGGGCCTCCTGGATTTTGACTTCGGCAGAGCCCGTGCAGTCGCCCGACTCGGCCCTCAACGCCGCCAGTGTGGTCATGCTCACCTGTGGCACCATCCTCATGTTCCTCTGCTTCTTGGGTATCGCAGAGGTAATTATTCTCCCAAATTCTGCGCACACTTTTTACTGTTTCAGTTTTAAAATTATATTCATTGATAAGTGTTTAAATTAAATGAAAAACAATGTATCAGTGAGTTGAACTAATTGTAAGTTAAAAATTCAGAATTTTTTAATTAAAAAAGGAAAATTGCATTATAATTATCGGAATACAAAAGCACTTTTTGGTTAATTGTACATTTATGTATGATTGATTTTTAAATGTTTTTTTCCTCAAAAGTTTCCTTCAAAACTTAATCAACACCGGCTATACAGCGTCCTTTTAACAACAACGCAGAACGAGGGGTTCTGCGGTCACGCTTCATGGCTGCACTAATGCCTTTTACAATTCTAGAAGCCTCCTCTTTTTTATATTTAAATTAAGCTTCTTACAGTTTGCATTTGTTATATAAAAATAATAGCAACTCAAGCTTGCTGTGTTATTTGAATTTAAATAAAAACCTTAAATTTGGAATAATTATTTCAAAATTATTAAAAAAGTGGCACTCGATAAAATAATCAATAATTCTAGAAATTTTTTTTGATAAATTCTGTTTAATAATGGTTTAGAAATATTTTGAAACTTTTAAAATAAAACTGCCTTGATCTCGAGTAAGTATGCAACACGCAGGTCATCAGCGCTTGACAAATTGCAGCAATGCGTTTGCATGCATGGGCTTATTTAATTGATTTGTGGAAGCTAATATGGTTACGTGGATATTATTTTTTGAGAAATTTATGCTTATATTAAATATTATGTTGACTTTTTTATGGCTAGGTAATTTATTTTACAAATTTAAATATTAGAAGAATTTCCGAGTGAGATTGAGGGGGTATTGGACAAAAAAATTACCCAATCTTCATAACATTATAATACATATATGTCAAAGCTGGTGTCCAGAGGGGCCTCCTTGCCAATTTTGAGACCTCAATCCAAAATTTTGGGGCGTGAAAAATAACCAGAGAGCTTTTTATTCAATTTTTTTTCTATAATACTTTGAAGAATCTTTATATTATTTTTTATTTGTTAATAAAATGTTAATTTAGTTATTCACTTTTGATTTCAGAGTGGTCGTCTGTATTACCTGGACTCGAGTCTGATTTGCGGCGCAACATATTTAATAATAGGCCTGTTGGGAATGCGGACTCGTTACTGGACCACTATGCCAAACAGAAATTTTGTCTCAGGTAAATGCGAAACCACCATCATGCTGGCGGCAGAATCGCTAATTAAACCGTCTCCAATAATTCATTGTCTGCAGGTTACATCGTGCTGGCCATTCTGAGTTTTTTGATAACGGCTGACATTTTGGCCATGCTGGTAGTGCGGGGCAGCAAGGCAGGTGGCAACTCGGTGACCGACATGCTTGGCGGCGCCGCCTGCGGAATCGCCCTTCTCACGGTCGTGGTGGCCTTCATCGGCCTTTGCACCACGAGGTGCTGCAGGCTTTCCCCGCCGGACAACAGAATCGGCCACTGTGCCGAGGGACTCACATTGTGAATAGCATCAAAAAGTCATTTTTAAAGTTAAGAGACGTTTTTAGTGTTAAAGTGCCTTCTTGTAAATTGCTAGATCTTATTCATATGAATCTATTTTCAATAATAAAGACCTAAAAAACATACTAAAATTTATTAAATTTTTCTTCGTAAATCCACTCATATTATTTGCAGCAAATACAAAAGTTATCAATAAATACAACAATCCCAATAAATTTAAGAGCTCATTTGTCTTTTAACAGAAGCGTAGATAATTATATATATATTTTTTTTTATAAAAATGATAAACCAGATTTATAATTGAGGGGTATCGTGGAAATTAACTGTTTTGAAACTAGCAAAGTAGTTCAGAAATATTGCACCAATTATATAACGCAGGCAATCATATTGCGCAATCTTGACGCGCTATGAGAATAGTGTGTCACCTCACCATTACTTGACATATTTAGACCGTGATCAAGGGTTTTTAATAACCTAAAATTGTACAAGCTAATGAAAAAAATGCTCCCGATTATGTTAACTGGGTGAATGTATCACCAGTAAATTGATAGTGATAAAATTATAAATAATTTTAGAGATTAGGGTAAAATAAACATTTATATTTGTTCCTGTGCGACTTCCTTATTGCCAAAAAAGGAAATAATCTTTATTTTGTCTGCAAAAGTAGCCGTTATGGAAACGAATCGTAAAATTTGTATGAGTCCATTCATTTGAATGCGCAGCCAAGGTAGCATATTTGTGCTCACTTCATGTGTGCAAAAATCGGGAACTGCGTAAGCAATTTTACACGTCTTCTTGCCAAAGTAAATGGGCTTTCGTGAAGCAAGTGCACATTACTCTGCACTTAATGACCTTTGGCTGTTCATTAGAGCGTCGCGACAAGATTTTTGAAGCAGAACTAGCATGCGACATTACCGCTTCTCCATCCTACCAACACTATTTTTCCCTCAAAACTTTGACATTCCGCTGTTTCATTCGCATCAGAACCATTTCATTGTGCTAGCGGGATACACGTCCTCAAGAAGGTAGGCAAAGCTTTATTCAAACTTTTAAGCAACAAAGGATAAGACAAGTAGTTCCTTTTTAAGTAAAAATAAATTTATTGTAAAATCATAGTTTAATTTTCAGCTAAATTTTATTTATTTTTAAATTATTCCTATTATATTTTGACTGGATGAATAGTTTCATTTTTATTTCTAGAATAATTATAAGAATTATTTTCCGTTGATTTATTTTATTTATAAAGAAATTGAATTATTTATGTTTCTACTCAAGCGGAAGCTATGAAGGTGAGATGGACACTGTGGTTGTTCCTTATTACCCACGCCTGGGCACGAGGAGGTCACTTTCGGGCCGAGATGAAAAATGCTCTATTAAATAGCGACCTGATGCCACCAAGTCTTCTGATCCAACAAACTCGAAGCTCAAACCCTGACATGGCCTACCTGGCCTCTGCAGTAAACGCGTCAACCGTTTCAGGAGCTTTGAACACCATGAGATTTCACAGGTAAGTCTGCTTATATTTAAAAAATTCATTATATAAATGCGGGAATTTTGCAGGAAAATGATGAACGAGTATCTTTGTCGTGGCTACATGGCTCAGGACATACTCGACCAGTTGCAAAAGGACGCAAATGAGGGAGTTGAGATCGAGCAGGAGGACCGCCCTCCAAAGGATAAGTTGCAGAGGAGAGGAGGACAAAGAAAGACCACCAAGCCCAATCCACTGCTCAAAGACGAAGGTTCCTCCAATTACAAAGATTGGCTTTCTAGGCAAGCAGCATTTTATAATTTTTTAAGTTAATAAATATACTAGACAATAGATTGAGATTATTGCTTAAATGAACATATTCAAAATTAATAATATAACAACCCAAATTTGATGCATAAATTTGTAGGAGCGCGGTTCTTGAGGACATTTATCGGCGATATGAACACTTGTCTGACGACGAGGAAGAAGAATTTGATCAGAGAGACAGAAGCATGGTTGATAGGGATGACGATTATGATGCGGAGGTGAGTTTGATAACGACACAATTTTGAAAGCTTTTGCAATAATTTGCGGCACAACTGTAGCAGATTATTGTGTGACGTAAACTGACTCTTTTAAGTTGACTTTTTGTTTGTGACTCGCTGAAGGACGACAGTTTTAAAATTTGCAATTTTCTTGGTCAAGCTGTCAAAATATTTTAATGGTCCGCTTTTTTGTAATAATATAATAATTCAAGTAATCATCAGCGTCATTCAAATGGATAAGTTTTCAGTTTTCTTCAAAATCTTTCAATCTGAAATTGAGCTCTGAACTTGAAAAAATCTGTCATACTGATACCTCCCTTTATAAGAATTAAAAATACCGAAGATTTTTTTAAGATGGTCATGATTAAATTTTGGTGACGGTGAAAAGTCTTGGTCCAAATTTTGCACTAGATTTTAAGAAATCCCCAATTTCGCAAGTTCGCTGAACGAGAGTAACTTTAAAAAAATCGGGCGGTGATTTTGTACGGTGTTCAGCGTTCTTTGTGACACACTGCACGTTGGCGCAGGTGACGGGTTGGGCATTAGAACAACCTCAACTTCAAACGAGGAATCCTCACGGGGCCAAGCAGGACCATCACACAAGACAAAACTACGACGAAGACGAACGCGACTTTGCCGACGAAAATTGGGACAACAGCAATCCCCACCAGGTGGCTGATTGGGAGTCGTCCGGACATGGACATGTGAGCGGAGGTAGCAGCGCTGGCAGCGGCTTGCAGCTTGGTATCGGAGATATGTACGATGTGGCGCTCACCGCAATTGCCATCCTAGCATTCGGAATATTCATACTGAACGTTTTCCTAGGAATATTACTTCCAGTGAGTAAAAATTTATTTTTAATTTCAAAATCTCACCAGTAAAAAAGGCAATCTGGAACATTTTGAAATAAAATTATAAACTTACAAATATAATTTACAAACGTATTTAAGACAAAAGCTCTTATTGGTTTAATTTAATTAAAAAAATTAAAAATTTAATTTTATATTTTTTGTCTTTGTATTATTCTACTTGTTAAGTTTCAAAATGATTTTGTTTCAGACTTCCTCTACAAGAACGGTGGTCATCTCCAACTTGACCCTGCCTTTCAGAAATCGAGAAGGAGAATCGGAAATACCCTTGGCTAAACTAAACGACGACGAGGACAAAACTCACGAGAGAATAGCGCGAGCCATTTCCGAAGAACCAGAGGAGTCGGAGGAGGGTGCGGCGAGACTGGTGCTTATCACCATAAAGGCTGCTCTTCGCGGTAATCCAAAGTGCCTCCAGTCTGCTCTGTGCGTAGGGAACAAAGTGGCAAGAAAATTGGAGGGTGCAGCAAAGCTGTGGGTTCCGGTTTGGAGGTAATTTCCAAATATACGAAATTTGGCGATTGAAATAAAAACACTGCTTTCAGTCTTGGCATGAGTTGGCTTGGAAGAAGAGGCGGAGGAAGTGAAACGCTTGGCAAATCTGTTTTATACGCCAGAGCGCTAGAAAATTTGCGCGCCTCAACGCTTGGATTGGCAGGAGTTAAATGCGGAGAAATTTTCCCACCATGTTAATGTAAAACTTGTAAAATTTAAAAATTAACAATTAGTATCTAAAAGAAGCAATCAAAAAATAATGTAAATTTGCGTGGACGACTGCAATAATTTTAATAGGCCTTAGTGTAGAAAATTTTACTTGCTGCTGCCCTGGCTGCTTTTCGGTTTGATGTAGTGGATTTCTCTGGTGATTCGCTCGTACTGGACGAACTTGATGTTGTTCTTATCCAGAATTCCTCTAGTGGCCACGCTGACTGCCGACGCATTGGGGCCCGCTTCGTAGGTGATGATCCTCTGCGCCCCAGCCGGCAATTCGATCATTTGGACGTCTTCGTCCGGATACTCGATGAGAGGTTCGGCAATGGTCAATTTTCGCGCTTCCTCTATTTGAGGCCGAGAAGCAGTTGCAGAAGTAAGAGGCTGCAATGGAGCCGGCTGCGAATGAATGGGAGCCGGCGCAGCAGGAACTTCCTCTACGTAGAAATCGGCAGGGACAGTCGACGGTGGTTTGGTCAAGTCATTCAGCATGTCGTAGGCGTCAAACAGGTTGCGGAATAAAACTTCTTCCGGCGCCACGACCTGCAGTTGTGGTTTTTGGTAAAATTTAGAAAAGCATCTCATCATTGTTAACATCAGCACAGTTATATTGTAATTTAATTTTAAAAATTAAAAAAAAAAATTAAAGTTGTCCAATTAAAAAAATTAAAACTGAAATTAAAAGTTAAATACAAAAGATACTGACTGGTTTCTTTTTGCAACCCTTCAAGTCGGAGTAATCAGGAAATCCATTGAGTTTGCTCCTGTAGAGCATGCGGACGGTGTTCCTCCTAATATCATTAGGGTCAATTTGCGTTGGCTTCTGTTTGGTTGCAAGTTGGGCGGCTGCTGCGATGGCTACATAGCCAGAATCAGCGTCCGAACTGGGCAGAGGGATGTCCGACTTGACAATGGCCTGTTTTAGTTCAAAGGGCTGCAGGTTGTATGCCTGGAGAAGTCTAGTGCTGAGGGCAGTAGTGTCCGTTAGGTCGTTGGTGTTGAACTGAGTGATGGTGGTTTTGCCGTCGTTGTAGCAACAGATCCAGCGGGTGCCATTGTTGAGCACCAGAAAAAGGTGCGGCCTTCGACCGACCTAGATGAAATTTTAAAAAAAGCTAGGAAAGGCTTGGGGTGGATTGCAAAGGCAATACCTTCCACTTTGCTGGCGGGGCGTCTAAGCAGAAGGCCTTGATTCTGGAGCTCTTTGTAATAAGCTGGCAGACTCTGACCATCTGGTCAAGGGTCATGGGTTTCCCACTCAAGATGGGGCCAATGTCGTCGGCAATTAAGCTGCTCGCTTTTCTCTTGCCTTTCTTTCCTCTCGCCATGTGTTATTAAAATCTTATCAAAAATATTTTTAAAAAAGGTCAAAATTTTTAAAGCTTCTTCTAACAATGCTGTTAAAATTCCTATTGTTGAATTTATAAACAGAAAAATAAAGTACCATCAACAATCAGATTAAATAATAATCACAAGGCCATTGTCAAAATTTTGTATACATAAAAATAGAATAGTTTTTTTTTTAAATAACATCCACAATTTTTGTTGTTGTTGTAGTTTTTTCATTTTCTAACAAAGGAAGAATAAAGAAATAAATACAAAACCATATTGATCAAGCTCAAGGAATGAAAATGCGCGATTTGATCAATTTTAACCGCTATAAAAAAGTCATGCTTCAAAGTAAAGAAATTTTAGACGAGTGTCATTTGCCTCTATGGAAAGGTCTTGCGTGGCTCAGTCAATTTAAAGGGCGATTTTGATAATTATTTCAAGCAGCAAAATAGCGGACCGGCGTGCGCGATAAGTTTCAAGAGCGACTTGCACTGGTGCTCACTTGGCGTGTCAACTCAGTTTCTCGAACCTTTAGTTGTCACTTCCAAAATGTTCTTTGCCACACGCACTTTGCGGAGTACTTTCGCTCAATGATGTCTTGTTGGATATTTTTTAAATTCGTCGGTAAGGTTTATATATTTTTTGTTTGATTTAATATTTTCTTCAGTTTTATCCATTCCTCTAAATGGACTTGTCCGAGGTAGTGGAGACGTTTGGACTGGGGTTTCTTATGTGCCGATCAAAGCGAGTAGCCTACCGGAAAAAACGGATTGGCAAAATTTTCCAAGTGATTTCAATGCCACTAACGCTACTAAGGTGGAGAACAAAACTTTGGTGGAGACGCACAAGAAGTTACAAAGGATCGCGAACATAACCATCGCCCAGTTCATCAACAACCACACAAGAAGAAATTTATCATTTAGTGAGCTAATGGAACTGAAGGAACTGGGCGACTCCCTGATGGATCCCAACTTTATGATCTCTAATTTTTTCAAAAAATCAAATTCGCACCTAATCACGCTTCCGTCAACTACAATGATGAACCTAGCAAGCGCAATATTGAAGAGCGACTTCATGCCTATGTCCATAATACAACGGAAAAAGCCGCAAGCGCCCAAGGATCAAAACAACAAAAATGAAACAATGTCTGAAAACAAGAACAAAACCGAGTTGGCGCTTACAAACGCCACAATGGACGAAGCACTATCGACTATGACTTTCCACAGGTAAACTTTCATTTATATGATTTTTATATATTACTGAAAAATTAATATTTCAGAAAAATGATGAACGAGTTTTTGTGCAAAAATTATATCGCTGAGAGTATTTTGCAAGCATTGGAAAAGGATGCAGCTATATTTGGTGATCACTCTGAGGAATTTTCTGATAGGCTTGGCGAACTCAAACCTGAAACACCAGATCCGCAGGCTGAAATGATCACGGATTTGGGCTCGACTAGATACAAGGATTGGCTGGACAAGTACATATAGTTTTAAGTCAAGATTTAGTTTAAAAATAAATTTTCAGGAGTTCCGAACTTACGGATATTTATAAAAGTATGGGAGGCTTTGATCCAAAACCGTACATAGTGAAAGAAATTAGTCCGAGTGACCTCCCCATGGATGACATTGACCATCACGCAGACAGAAAGAAGGGTGATGACGACGATGATGAGGAAGACGAAGATGAGGACGCAGAAGAGGATGAGGTAAATATTAAAAAATTTTATAGATTTTTTAATTTAATTTTAAACTTATGTCTTCAGGAGGAAAAGAAGCCAAGGAAGAAAATAAAAGTAAAAAAGAAAAAGAACAAGAAGAAAAAGCCCAAGCCAAAACCTGAAGAGGAGGACGATGATGGCATGGTCGAGGAAGAGGAGGAGGAAGAAAGCGACGAAGAAAATGATTCCGGATACAATGTTTACGACACGCACTTGCACAGTGCAAATGAGCAGTTTGAGGTCGTTGACAGCGGCTGGAATATCTTCAAATTTGGATTCATTGACTTCTACGACTCGGCACTGACAGCCCTGGCCTTTTTGACCTTTGGCATTTTCACCCTTCAGGTTTTCATCAACCTGATAACAAACGCAAACGCTCCACGAATGGGAATTTTGGTCAACAACTCAACCGCAGCGGCCCCAGTCAACAAACGAAGAGCCCTAGACTTGGAGCAAATCAACATTATGAGCACAACAGAAAGAATGTACGAGGCCTTTGCAGACAGTCCTCTGGGAGTCTCGACTGGCCAAAATAGATCTCAAAATTTCAAAAGCGACATGGCTAATTTACCAATCAAAAGATTGCCGAAAGTGGAAACCTCAAAAACTTTGAATTTCTCGCATAATCCAACGTTTGAAATCATATTTGGTTTGGACGTAACTCCTAGTGTGGAGCTCGAACCTGACGAGGAGACTGTGGATGATATTAAAAATCAACAGTCTCATGGACCACGCTTCATTTTGCCAGAGGAGGTTGTAGCCAAATTTGCACTGGTAACAATCAGGGCAGCCCTGAAAAAAGACGATCCGCGATGTGTGCGTGCTGCCCTTTGCAGGGCTAATAGAGCCACACTACAATTCGAAGGCCCCCCTAGACTGTGGCTACCAATGTGGAGGTATAAACATTTTGTTATGTAAATTATTCAGCTTAGGAATGCAAATTATTTTAGTGTCGGCATGAGTTGGATGGCTCAGCGAGCAGGCGGAGACCCTGGGAGCCAAGATGTGGTCACGGGAGCTCTTGAGAATTTGAAAGCGTCAGTCTTGGGACTGGCTGGGGTTAAATGCGAAAAGGTGTATCCGCCATGTGAATAACAGAGCTCAACTTTCCATATAAAAATGTAAATATCGTAAATTTTTTTTTAAATCAACAAGTGAATTTTTATTTCCTGGCCGAGAAAAAATTCAAAATCTTTTTTACCACTTTATGTTCAATGCATTCGGTGCCATTTCGACTGCATGGAATTCCGTGTGCATAAAAGTACTCACACTTTCGGCAAGAGCTACGATGTCCAGGTTAGAATCAGCACTGGGCCTCTTTGGTAACTCTTCTTTGTATTGATGCTCCAGATGAGCCAGAAGTTCTCGAGATTGGGACGCCTGGTCTGGTCGACATTGTGCACCACCGTTCAGGCAACCTTATAGTTCAGAAAAATTATCTCCACTTCAAAATTCAATTCCTAATTCTTTTATACCTCCAGGACATGCCATAACTTCAACGTAATCGTAAGGGCATTTCTTTCTTTTGATTTTCTGCACCAAATTTTGAATATTTCGAAAACCATTTGCAACGGCAAACCTCAGAACAACTTCTCCATCTTTTTCCAGGTTTAATTCTTGCAGATCGGGGTTTCTAAGATAAGATAGGATTAATTGGCCATCAAAACAATAAATAAGAAAACTTTTACCTCCCCGGAATATAGTTGAGATTTTCTGGGGTAACCCCAAACAATCGTTGACTTGCATGAATGAAAACATTTTCAGTAAAGCCACCAGAGCCTGAACCTTTGGGAGTTGACAGGTGATCAACTATTTGGTAGGAGCTTGAATACGGAATGGGGTCCAACTCCTCAGGGTCAAAGTCGAGCAGCGTCTTATTGTCATTATCAAACATTTGCTGAAGTTCAACTGGAATTTTAATAGAATTTTATTTTTAAACTTGCCATATAATTATAAATTTTAGAAACAAAAACAAATTTGAGAGGAAAACATACCAGCTGTAAGGACACAATCAACGTCTTTTCCCTCCTCGTTGGCAAAATCTGGCCTAGAAGCCTCCAGTTTTCGGTCGTAACATGACATCAGTGTGATGTGGTACATAGCCTTGTCAGTCTTTTTGAGCAAAGCCCCTGCCAATTGCTGAGGGGATTTGACAGTGCTCAGGTAGGGTAGCAACCACGAGCCATGTGTCTTCTCGACATAGCAAACCCAGCCGGGGCACGCAGAAACTAAGACAGGCACTTTTCCGGCCTGTTTCTTTTCGATAAACTCCTTTTGGCACTCCAGCAGCACCAAGTCTTCAGCAACAGACAAATCACAGACAAGGTTTACACCCAGAGACTTGAAGAAACCTTAAATCAAGGCAAATGCATTAATTTTTTATATAAAGAAAATTTTGTAAATTATTTAATAAATTTTGCTCACCTGCTATTCTTTTGGCTGCTTCAAGAGCACCAACTTTATATTTGGCTGCAACAGACAGCACAGCAGTATTTGAGAGGGAAACCAAAATTTGCCGCCGTCTTATTACTGGCAGTTCCATATTTTCCGTCAGGATTCGAAGAACTTCGGGCCCACTTTGCTGAGATACGAGAACGCTTTCCGCCGTTGTCACACAACCGCTGCATGCCAGACAATCAGTCAGCGTAATTTCAACCTTTTGTAGTTTACTTGCTCGGCCCTATAGAATCAAGAAAAATAAGAAATTTTGTAGGAAAAAAAATACAACAATGACACTCACATCAGCATTGATTTGCATGTATTTGCCATCCTTTCCAATTTGAATTGTCGACCTGCCTTCGGCTCCTGCTTTTACTTTACGATCAATTTTGACAGGCTTGATGCATTCCTGCAGAGGAAATTTATGATTAAAATGAATAAACTACGCAGCAGCAATGGTATTATGTTTCAAAAATTTGGCCGAACCTGAGATGGGGTGATGAAGTCGTCCAAATCGGCCAGTTTCAAAACGCCGCTAAAGCCAGAAGCGGCCATATTTCGACTTTATTTGATGAGAGGCAAAACAAGGAGTCCCCTGTTGAAAAATATAAGATTGAAAATATTAGAAAATGTCATTAAAATATATTTAAATAAGAAATTTTGTACCTGCTGTTGCTACAAAACGCTGCTCCAATCAAAAACAAAACCACGTGATCTGTGACGTCACGCTAAAAGCAGTCTGAAAGTTGTTCAGAGGGAAGTTTAACGCACGCGGCATGGTCACCACGACGTTAGGAAGAGTATAATGGTATGTACATAATGTACAGAATAACTAAGGGTGGAGTTAGGGCTTTCAAATTCATTATCATTATCAAATAATAAAAGTAATTTAAATAATGAATATAAATAAAGATTTAGCGATATTTAGGAAATAAAATTTATCATAATTCATAATCTAAAAAGGATTTCAAAAGCATCACAATACATTTTTTCCAGTCTGAAATTGGACATTACTTTATGAAGATTTTTTTTATAATATTTTGCAATAATTATAGTTTAATTTTTTTTTCTTTCTATTTATTTATTTTTTTCCACGGAGAAAAAGACAAATTACTAAAATTTAAATTATTTTACCTTTCGATTAAATTTGGGCTTGTTTCTGGTGTACCTCACGAAGTTACGCAGTTGAAGTTGCATACCGAAGCAATAATGGAGAACGTCCTTACCAATGTTACTAGTGTCAATAACACTTATTCTGGTCATATCATTGAAGTAAGCAATTTTTAAAATTCCCTTAATTGGTTAACTTAATTAGTTTACGTCGATCTGTTTTTCATTTATAAAAAATCGATAAAGGAATTATAGTATTTTGAAATTGAGGTTTTGGAATTTTGATTACATATAATGTCCTTAGATAAATTTAAAAAATGAAATCCGTTTTCCGTAGTATGAGTTTTATTTAATTTGATTCGACAATGAGATACGAAGTTAATAAATCTTAAACTATGAAAATTTATTTAAAATAATTATGTAGTTGATAAAAAGTAAAACTGAGAGTTTTAAATTTAATGAAAAAAATATATAATATAATCAAGTAGGACTCACATCAATACTAATAAGGGACTCTAGAAAAGTATGCAGGTTAAAAATTTGTCCGCAGCAAATTCTCATTCACTGGAGAGAGCTAAAATTTTAGGCTTGATAGTACTTCATTTCAAACACTATAATGTGAGATAAACTGTTGTGCGTATTAAAATTATAATGAAATCAAATGAAATTATTGAATATTTATGCTAATGTTGATATTAATTTATATTTATGCAATAATTTTTCCTCTTCGCAAACACAAGGAACGTTTGAGAAACTTGTATCCTCGAGTCACTTGAGTGTAGGGCGAAAGAGGTAAATTATGTTTGGGTAATTTTTCAATTTTCTTTGTTTTTTTACTCTATGAAAAAAGCGCGACACCAAACGTTGTGCAGAGTTGTGAAGCCGCCCTCGCACCAGGAGTCAGATTTCCAGGTTTGTCCGCTCGCAAAGGGTTCGCCTTTATCTGATGACACTCTTGCTAATTCACACCGCGAAACATAAAGCAGGTAGCACGCCTATGGAAAAGAGCAATGCCGTCTGTTTTTCTCTTTATCTTGCACGCAGACAGTAGGCAAAAAACCCAAAGCGCGTTTAAAAAGTATAAATAAATTTTAAATATATTCTAGCTGCGAAAAGAGCAGCAGGAAGGGAAAATGTTCTCTTGACTGATTATTATTTCTGCACCGAGCCTCGGCTTGTGTATATGAGATGCCGCAGGATAGTGCTTCACTTTAATGGAATACCGTTTATTTTAATTTATGGAAATGTCCATGAGGGAAGAGCAGGACCGCACGCACATATAAAAAACTGCACTCTTGGGCAATAAGATCTTTTTTCATAAGAAAAAAAACAACCTCTTCTAACCAGTTCTCATAATATTATAAGCCAATTAAATACGTACAACTCATTATCGGGATAAGAAAAATGTGTTATTACTATAAAATTCTTATTTAATGAAAAAATTGATTAATTTAAATATTTCTTTTTACTGTGTTATCTTTCTTTGCGGTTAGTTTTTTTTACATTGGGCAAATTTACTTTATTTAAAAAATAATAATAAATACCGAATAATTATAATAAAAGAGAAACAAAATTTACATTATGTGAAGTGATAAATAAATTAAGTTTCATTGAAATTGTATAATTTTATATGAAATTACATGCGGGTTTAAAATGAATATTTAAATTAAAATATTCAAATTTGGTTTGTTTGATAATAAACCTCTTTTGCTTTATAAAACGGTGCAAGTTTTGCAAATTTGTTTTTACTTTGAAATGAGTTTCAACGTACACCTTTTGTAATTCGACCTGTTCATGGCTTTTTTGCTCATGAAAATGAACCTTGTTTTTTTATTATTAATATATTTCTATTTATTTTTTTAACTTTACGTGCAAACAAAATGATCAAATATAAAAAGCTTAAGAACAATCAGATAAAATAATAATAAAAAATGTGTCTTTTATAGCCTCAATATCATTATACTGTATTTATCTGTAAAAAAATGAAGTTCAACTAATTTTATTTGTTTTATTGTAAGAAATAAATTTGAATTTTCACCTTTTTCTCCAGTATGAATGATAAAGTTGCAAATAATTTCTTTAGTCATATTAATGTATTTACATTTTACAATTAATCTCATTTAAAATAAAAACTGCTCCTAACGTCAATGCTTGTGCTCTATTATTTTTCTACAACGCCACCACCTACTCGGTAATTATAAACCCCTCCCAAGGAGGCGTGGTCTTTTACCTGGAGCTTTCCGCAGGGACGGCGGCCGGCGGCTGCGAGAGGCCACAGCAGAGCAGCATCTCTGGTAAAGGACCCGAGCGCACTGCTTTTTTCTTTCTCGATGGTCATAAGTGCGCGGCGCGCGGAGCCGAGCGGATCAAAAGCGCGAGATCGTGTATCGAAAAGTGCGATGATGTGTGTGTGACATGACACCTTTGTGCTCGTCTCCGCGGTTTCTTCTTCTGATGCTACAAAGCGGCCGGCCGCGTGTGCAGGCACTATGTGGCTAGAGGCCCGCAAAGGTCCCGACAAACCGAATCACCTCCCGCGGCCAGCGTCGGCCGTCAGTTGGCAAGTCCGCGTCCTCTGCGTCCTGTGCGCCGCCACCCTTTTGCAGACTGTTGGAAACCTCAGGTTATTATTTTTAATCTTACATAAATATATTGTATATAATTATCAGTCCTATAACTGCATTTGACCTCTTATTGGTCCCCATTGGCAATTTTTATACTATTTTTTCGTGAATGAAAAAGATGCAAAATAATTTTTTGCTCGCTAGTTTTTAGTAAATTTGGTTATCTTGCTCTTTTGATTTCTTAACAAAATCTTGAAAGTTTGGAGCTTTGGCTTAAATGATAGAATTGATGCAAGTTATAAGTTTGTGACAATCTTATTCGAATAAATTTTTTTAAACTTGAAGGTTTTCTTAGAAAATGAATGCTATTTTTCCAAGGCATTTGCGTTGTACTGCTTGGAACCTCTATTAATTGTAAGTGTAAAATACATTTATTTCAAATGTATTCAATATTTTATCCAATTAATCAACATTAGTTGTTTTGTAATGGCTCTGAAGAAAATTTGAAAGTTCCAATAGTTGATGTTTTTGTTCTGAAAATTTAAAACTCAATGGTTGCCAATCTTTGAGCAAAGTTATGGAGAATATCTTACGTTAGGATGAATAATTTTTATTGAAATTGCATATTATGGCCTCTTTAAGTTTTCATTTTTATCAATTAAAATTGTTGACGCTCTGAATTTATGATACAAATTGCTGCTGTTGATGTTTCCAAATATCTTATGCTGCATTTTAATTTTAGTTGTCATACAATTTTTTCCTCTTTTATTTTTTATTAGAATGTCTGATGGCGTTTTAAATCTTCAAAGAGGTGCGCCTGGCGCGTGCAATGGACACCTTTTCAGGCAATGCATTATCATGCGTAATGCGCAATGAATATTCATTAAGAGTTGCCAAACATTTTCATATATTCACGTTATTTTCTGGAAGTCTATATGATGGTTAATACAAAGTATGGAAACATCTCCCGTTGCCGATTATCGCTTGTTATACGACCCGAAAAAGGCGCAGAGCGGCTTAAGTATGCTTTTAGTCACTCCTCCTCATTACTCTTATCTGGGAATTCAATATTCATTGCAAATTACCAAAAAATCGGACAAGTCTGAAAAACGTTTTTGAGTGCTTTCTGCAATAAACTACGGCCAAAATCACCGAACGTCTTTGTTTTTTCATTTTCCAAAACAAAGAATGCTTTTACTGTAACTGAAGGCCGGCGACGCTCATTGAAGACTTTTCGAGTTGAGAGATTTTATCAAATGAAAAATGCCTTTACACTATTCCTCGTCAGTGCGCGGAGCGAGAAAAAACTTGCCCATCAGCTGTTTTGTCCCATCTACATAAAAGTGTGGAAAATTTCCGCGGAGGATCAGCATATAAAGATGCGGAGTGAGTTATTGAGGCAGCTATATGAATTTATTTCAGCATTTTTATATACCTGGGAATGGGAGCTACCGAGAAAAAACGTTTCCTCTCGAGGGGCAAATAATAAATTTTGGAGCAAAAAATATAAATAAATTTTATGTTGAGGAGAATCGCGTTTCGAGATGCAAACAAAGTATAAAACATTCGCCGGCGAAATGTGATTTGATCTTTCGTGTCTGCGCTCTCTGTTATAAATCCGACGGAGAGAGAGAGGAGACTGCAAAAATATATTTCATGCAGATTACGTCCGCGCCTCTCGAGTAAAAAAGAAGTTTCGTTCCGAGATTGCTTCATCGCCGACCCAAAGAGATTAATTGATAAAAGCGGGTTATGGAGTAATTTAATTAACTTATTTTTATGCGTGTTTTATTGGCGGAGAAAAACAAAGCAAAAGTGATTTGTGAATCTTATTGTAAGTTAAGGATCAAATATAAAAGGGACACATTATGTACTAATGGTTTTTTAAGCTCTAAATAAAATTGTACAGGAAAATCATACTCTTCTTTAGCCAAGATTCATATATAGAATTATATTTAAAAAATACAGTACAAAAAATTTATAAATTAAAAATAATGCAACGGTGCAAAGAAAAAAAATGCACAATCAAAACAAATTCATGCATATTTGATTCATTGTTAAAAATTATTATTTAAAAAAAAATATAAATTTGAATAAAAAAACACTAAATGAAATACTTAAATAAAAAAAGGTATTATTTTAATTAAACAAGTTTACAAGTAATATTTAAGCACTGTAAAAAGGCTGGTAGTTATAATTTTATTCCGAGCTCCCACAAAAACACATCACATATATCGCATTATTTGATTATTCCTTTCACAAATTGGCTGGGTTGCAGTTGAAAAAAAACTCGCCTCATCGCATAATATCTCCGTGTTGGTTGTGAAATAGGACTTCCAATTTTCATAAATCAATCTGCAGCTGACCATTAATGAATTCAGCGGCTGGCGGACGGTTGGCGGCGGCGGCTGCGGTGAAAGAGATGAGCAAACACGGCTTCTTTTTTATATACCTTAAGGGTGGGTTCAAAAGGGTCGCTTCTCTTTACGACCTGAGCGAACGTTCATTACCGTTCGTTGAAACTTTTATGGGTGAAGCATCGCGGTGATTATGGTATTTTTTCGCTCCAGGCTCTTTGGAGCTATCGTGCAGTCGATAAAATGGTCCATTCTGATTGAGCGAGACACGAAAACACTCTCAGCCCAGCCTCATTACAATATCGAAAAACAACCCTTCCCACGCTCCCCCTAAATCTATTCGATGTGCGTGCAGACGACAGCAGTTTGTAATATAAATCGCGACGAGATGAATGGCAGGGAAATTTCTGCTCTTCCAAAATGTGTATTTGCGTTTCTCTGACGTTGTCTCTTACGTTTAAAAGACAGAAACTTCAGATGTTTATAATTAAATGTGAATAGAAAAAATTAATTTTCTTGCAAATTTGCTAAGATTATTCTAGAATCATTAGAAAAAGAAATACCGGGAGTATTTATAAATTAAAAAGATACATTTTTTAATTGATATTATAAAAAAATTACTTTTAAAGTTTTTTAATACCGGTTTTGAAGCATTTTATTAGAAAATAAAAAATTCGACCACAGGATAGGGTGAGGCAATTGACAGAAAGATTCGGCAACATTTTTACTGTCCTTTTTTAGGAAACATACAACATTTGGGAGGAAACTGATACTATTTCTGCGATAAAATTCAAATGACCATTCAAACAGATGGCGCAATTAAGAGGGAGTCTTGATAAAATGAATAAGATATACGCTGTTTAACTTAGCTTTACAGTTCTCGGCACAAAAAGTGGGCTAAAACTAGAATTTAAGCTACGTGGGAAAAAATATTTTGTTTAAAAAAATAATCAAGTATGAAATTTAATTATTTCTGAACATGTCAAAAATACTAAAATTGTCCCATGTCTTTTATAAATAATTTCTTTTCGATTCAAAGTTATTTCTTGTGAAAAAGTTCAATATGTTTCAGATTCTTTGAGTTTTCCCAAAATCCATTGGGACAAATTTTCAACAAATTTCTTGCGTATATATATATTTAATCATAAAAGTTACAAAGCCATGCTCTTGATTTTCTCTTTTTCTCTGCTGGCTAGTTCGTTGTAATTAATTGAAATTGTATGGCCCAAAAATTGTTTCTGAAAGGCGCTGAGCTATGAGCAATCCATCATGGGACCAAAAAGGCTGCCGGTTCAGAAAGTAATTTACTTAATGTTTTATGTTAATTTGGTACCGTTTATTTTGAAGATAAATGGGAGCTGCCTCTTCACTTTGAAAATAATTAGGCTGGTATGCGGTTGGGGCACTGAATATTCTTCCTGTGTGTGTATGTAAATTTTTTGAAACTGCATCCTCTCGACACCGCTTTCCGATAATATAGCGAAAGCGAGTTTTGCTGTTTTTACAGGCCGCTTGATAAATAGGCTTAATAATATCAATTTTCTGCCCTTTTGCCTGTGCGCGCTAATTGGAAAATTGATTATGCCGGCGCACTTTATCCACACCAAAATCAGACAAGTCAATTCCAATCCTGTTATAATTAATAGCAGGCTGCTCGCTGGTGGTGATCGCTCATTAATTTTTTTCTCGGACCAGGTATGCTTTTGAGATGTGTGGGCCTTCGGCCGGTAATTAATAATATCGCAAGCGTCATATCGGCGGATTTTTGCTAATGACGGCACGTTTCAACACTCTCGACTTTCGGGAATTTAAATTTCAGGTCCCTTGCATTGCATAAAAACTCGATTGAAACTTGAGACTCTGCGCTCAGCCTCGCGTGCTTGAGGACCAATATGGGTGAAAAATGATAATTAACAACAAATTGCTTTTAAAACGCTGGCTGAAGGAGCGTATAGATAGTCGTATGTTATTGAACCGTTAAAAGCCCAATTTGGCAGTGGTCCATGTTGTATTGAGATGATTTTTATCGCGCCCACCACCGTGGACTGAACGAAACTCCTCTTCGTTCGGAGACACGTTTCGGTGAGATGGGTCCTCTCTGCGCTGAATGAAAGTGCTGTCAATTTATCTGCTGATCGTCTGTGTAATTGAGATAATTGTTTCACCAGCCATTTGGAATTGACGTCGATTAATCATTCTGCCACAAGTATGCCCACCTTTCAGATTTAAAAAGTTATACTTTTTTTTTAATTTCCCTTTATTTCATCCAAAGAATATATTATGCTTTTTTTTAAATTTAACTTTAATGATATTGGCGACTAATTGTTTCCTTCATTCAAACCCTCACAACGATTAGGTTAAGAGAGTTTTCGTGGCTTATCTGTTCGCGGGAAGAAAATTAGCCTCCCACTTTGCTAAAAGCCTAATAACTTTCAGGCCAGTTTCATTAATCAGAGCCGTTTTATTTTTGTACAAAGAAACTCATAATCATATAATGGATTATACTGTTGCGAAAGAAGCGACTGTGCATAAGATAAATATAGGCTAAAAATATTTAAAAGCTTTGCCGAGATAAACACCGTCATATATTATGCTGCGAGTTAATGCACCAATTCAACCACGCAGCTAGGACTTTTCGAATGTATTATAAATCACTCGGCCAAATGCTCTAATGAAAAGAATAAGGCAGGAGTAAATTCCTG